CCCCCTTGGGCAGCTGGTTGCGTGCCACATATATATATATAGATATATATATATATCTGAACACGTACGAGCGGCATTCGTTTGTTGCACGCGATCTGATAATATTATTATTTCCACTCCTCCGCTTTGAATTTTTTCCACCATCTCGTGGCATTTTTATAAAGGCTGCGTGCCATGGGCGCGGCTGGATGGAGGGGATATGTGGGTTTACTTGGGGGTATATCTGGGAGTGGTCTCCAGTGGGGGAAAAAGCCAGAGAAAGAACTCACATTTGCATATGTCTGCATGCCATATAAAGTGTTTGCATGTCGCATGTTTCATGTTGATGGTGGCCATTTTGAATATATTCTACTACTAGTTTGAATTAGAAACTATGACTTGATATATTTATAAACCAGTCTTCAATGCTAGAAAACATTAAGCAAATTACTGAGTTCATCTTACAAAATATTCACCATATATTCCAGCTAATATACAATCTTATAAATAAAACCTAACAATACCCTTGGCCAAAAAAAAAGACAACCATTGTTAGCCTTAATTTACAAGCCCACAAAAATGGTAACCCCTTTACCACCATCTTATCCCAAAAGACCGGAAATCGTAGGCTTTCTAGACAACCCAAAAACGCAAGGAAAAGGAAAAATAAACGTCAAATCGAATCAAATGATTTTATGATGTAATTTGAGCTAATATTTACGATATAAGAGCAGCTAAAACAGCAGCAAAATGCCAAATAAATGTTATTGTTATATTGTCGCTTGGGTGGTGAGAGACAAACATATAAACCCGAAACCCTAGACCTCCAACCGACCAGCCCATCCTCCATTTATGATGCTGGAAAAACGGCAACGGAGATGCCAAAAACAAAGTTGTGCAAAAAAAAAAAAAATACAAAGAAAAAGGAAAATCCAAATATTTTCCCAAAAAGAGAAAACAAGGAAAACTCCAGAAGGGGAGGTGGTGTTGAAAAGTCAAGTGTGCGCAAAAATCCCTGGGGTGTCATTGATGAAATTGCTCTTTCCGTTCGCTTTCCGAGGAAACTTTCGCTTTAAGCTTTAATCTCTGGCCACAAAAACGTTTAAATTCGGAACAGAGCTAACTTATGGCGTCAGGTAATAAATGTTTCCCAGTAGAATATCCTTCCCTCCTGCACCACGGAGCACCAAGGAAGATGTCACCGGGGGTACTGAACACTCAGTGACAAATTAACGCTCAGCGGGGTGGGATAACCGTCACCCCTCTAGAGTACCAGTACCAGTACCAGGATAGTAATATATACATAACATCTGAAGACCCGCCACCTTTGACCACCGTAACTAACCGCAACTGGAACTGTAACATTAACTACTCCTTGGTGTCCTTGGTCACTGATTTTGTTCCATTCCTCCCCAGGGGGTGGACCACATAATTGGCCAACAATCAACAGCTGTTCTAATAGGCAACAGACAAGGCACAGACCTCAACCTGATATTATTTATGGCCCAAATGATCTTTACTTTTGCTCTATTTTTTGTTTTGTTTGATATTAGAGAAACCCATTTGCCATGGTGGGCTTTTCAGTGTTTAAAGAACTTTACTTTGTCGGCAAATGAAGAACTACATCCATGGGTCAATTGAGTCAGTAGTAGGATTTTATGGATTTTATGAAAGGCACTGAAAAAGATTGGGATATTATTAAAGGCACTATTATTTTTAAAGGAATTATTTTTATAAAATACCTACCATTATAATTATCTTTAATTTTGTCAAGAATACCATTTAAAAACTATCCTATTTTGAAATAAATTTCGCACAGTGACTTAGTCTTCAACTAGAATCAATATAGAAACCGCAGAAACCAATCGGACCATAAAACCCCATCCCTGAAAACCATTTCTACCCACTCGATGAGTGAAGAACAACCATTAAAGCTTATCTGGACAAATGTACAACGATTTTCATCCCTCTGGCACCTCCGACGGTGTTCGAACTCCACAGTTTGTAACTCCAACGATATTGATACAGACCTCAACTGGGATTAGGATAGTGCGTATGGTCTATACCTAAGTTGGAATACATTTCCTTTTAGAACTTTGCCGACGGGCTGGAAAAAAAAAGCCAACTAACTAATCTATCATTACGGACAGGGCGGGACATACATATAATATTTATCGGCAAACAAGCGACAGTTCAAAATCAAACTTTCAATTAGGGGCTCGTTCGTCTACAAGCCCTTGGATATTAGAGTAATGCACAAGAGAGGCATACCTACATATATATGTATATATCGTGGAAAGAGCCACCCATTCGATATAAATTATGAATGTGTTCACGCATGAAGCGAGGGACCCCAGTGACAAAGTCATAAAAAAATGTCACACCTTGACGCACAATTTTTATTTAATTGCTAATAAAATACGCTTATATATTTGTACGTCCAAAGCCGGGTAATATATATAGATTTTTTTTCTTCATGTATGAATATCCCCCCAAAAATATATCAAACAGATTTTTAAAAGTAATTATTTGCTAAAGTGACGCGGATTTTTTTTCTTACTCTCTGTCTGAGTTTGTTTTTTTGCCATTCATTCATAATCTTATCTTCTTGGGGGCGAATGAAGAAAAGTGCATATCTTAGAAAGATCTTAGAGGTTCAGACAATGGAATTAGACTCTGGCTCAACTTGATCCACATTCATGGGGTTTTGTCTTGGTTTGGTTTATGGTTGTAATAAAACACTCAGTACAGCTGGGATAGTAACTTTATAGTTGTACTGTATAATACGTGGTACGATTTATTAGATTATGGCCGTGAAGGTCAGTAGTGGCAGGCACTTGTGAACTGAAACCACCCGTCCACCTTATCCACCCACCATACACCCACCACCCGGCAGAGCGTGTGCTCTAATTCTGTGCGGATTTTCTGTTGTTTGTAGAAGGTTTCAGGTGTGAGAAATTGGAACCTCCAAGTGGTAACCAGATAAAAAAAATAGAGTCTATGTCTATGGTGTGCGTGGGTGTTTGGATATCTTAGATATAGAGATAACCCCAATGTGGTGCAGCTTCTTGGAGGCTGTGGCTTGGTTTTTTGATCCACAAAGAGTGGAAAATAGGTTGCATGGGGAAAGATGTTTAAAGCTTTGCTGGAAGTTTCTTAAAAGAGTTTTTCAGAAAATCTTTATAACCTTTGTTATAACTTTATAATTTTCTACAATGAAAAAAGATACATCTATAATTTATTTTGTATTGTTTTCTAAAATCAAAGAAGTGAACACCTGCTTAACAAACCATAAAATTTAAATATGCAAGTTCAAGGTTTACCAATTTATTAAAATCTTTTATTAAAGTTTTTCTGAATCTTTACGTAATAATCATAAAACCTTTACAAAAATATCCGAGTCTTACTCATAGTTTTTACCTCACATTGCGAAATCATTTGAAATTATGTTTTATTTTCTACAATTTACTTGGTAAATCCTCAAATCTGATAATATTGTTGTTTTAATTTAGCCATATTTGTGCACTTCCTCAAATCCGTCAGGTCTGTCCAAACAAGTTATAGTACGTTGGGTTGTTCTGGGAGTCAAGCCCACTTTATCAGTAGATTCTCGAGGGCCCCAAGAACACGCGCAAGAAGATTTCCCCCTTTCTAAAAAAGAAAAAAAATGGCAAAGCAGACTGAAAATTTTAGATTTATTATGTGAAGCGAAAAAAAAGCAAACACCACATAGATTATGAGGTTTAAGAACATTATGCTTATTTTGAGGTATTCTTTGGGGCGATTGCCACATTTGACTAAGCAAACGAGGAGCCAGAGCGACAGCAATAAATTCACGTCTAAACAAAGTGTAAAAAATAAATAAAAGAGTGAGAGATAAGGGGGCTAAGGCAACGGTCTAATGGGATTTGGATCTGAGGTAAAGGGAAAGTAAGATTTGGGGGTTCTAGAATTTTTCAAAAGAGTTCTTTCGCAAAGACTTTAAACTGCTCTAGAATTATTAATTTTTTCAAAACTTCTAGTAAATTGTAATATTTAAAATATTAAAATAGACTTGTGATTATAAAGGTACCTATATATTTTACTTACAGAGCATCTTGAGTTCTTTAACACCTACACTTTGCACTTGGTTTATCCATTTCTTTTGGTTGAACTTTATCATCTGTGAAAATATTTGTTTGTTTGCCTATTTACCCAATTTTAATTGTGAGAACACTACAGTACATAAAAAATTAGAGCAAAATCCTCAGCACGGAATGTTTGTTTGTTTTTTAAAAAAAAAAAAAAAAGTATATTCCGAATGATGGTGGAGTGGGAGTGTATTTATCACGTAGCCAGTCTGTGCCACGATCCCGTGGCCTTTTTCATGCCTTGTGGGTCTCTATTTTCTTTGGGTGTGTTTTTAGTACTCGTATGTATGTTTTTCTTTTTCTGTCATTTATTTGAATTTTGATTGACTAATTGCGCAGCTCAGCGCCAGGTAAATCTACCTTTATATAGTAGTATATATGTATGTATATACCCCCCACATCCTACGTGGAATCATTCTCTCCCAGTAATGTCGGCTCTTTGTGAATTATTTTTCATGTATACCGCTTCGACTTTGGGTGGCTCCAATCTTGTCGGGATGTCGGGGATATCGTCATCGTTGTAGAGCGTGTGACAGCTTTCTATGGCTATCATAATTTAAATATTGTCATCTATTATGAAGAGATGAGCTCGTTGCCGAGCTGAAGGCGAAACATGTTTGTCCACCTGACGCCAGTCACTTCCATATCTGACACCCATTTCAAACTGAAAAACATAAAGCCCCAGGCAACTAGGCTGGCAAGCTGTTAACTTGGCCAAGAGTCATGGCCCTCTGACGACAATTTCTTGCACATTATCTTGTGATTTAATTTTTGGAATGATATTTATCTAATTGCATGTATATAGGCCTAGATTCCAAGCATGTGTTTTAATAATTTAATTTTATTTTTCATTAAAAAATAAATATTAATTATTTCTATTTTATTTTTTAGGTAAAACCCGCACTAAGGACAAATACCGCGTTGTTTACACCGACTTCCAGCGCTTGGAACTGGAGAAGGAGTACTGCACATCCCGTTACATCACCATCCGGCGCAAAAGCGAACTGGCACAGACCCTCTCCCTGTCCGAGCGGCAGGTGAAGATCTGGTTCCAGAACCGACGGGCCAAGGAGCGCAAGCAGAACAAGAAGGGCAGCGACCCCAATGTGATGGGCGTGGGTGTGCAGCACACGGACTACAGCCAGCTGCTGGACGCCAAGGCTAAGCTGGAGCCGGGCCTGCATCTGCCCCATTCGCTGGCCCACTCGATGAACCCGATGGCGATGAACATTCCGGCCATGAGACTCCACCCGCATCTGGCCGCCCACAGTCACTCGCTGGCGGCGGCGGCGGCGCACTCGCATCAGCTGCAGCAGCAGCACAGCGCCCAAATGTCCGCTGCAGCGGCGGTGGGTACGCTTTCGATGTGACCCGATCCCTGCTATGGGAACAGCTTGAGCAACGGCATCCACGGCGAGAACGGTGGCGGCTACATGGAGGCCATTGGGGAGAGCAACTGTGGCGCCTACAGTGCTCCCGCCCTCGCCACGGAATTGGCTTAACCCTTAGGTCGCGCAGTCAGACTGTGGCGACCCCCGAACCGAAGGGTACTAGAGATGTAAAACAAGAAGAAGAAAGAAAAATGGATCCCAAGAGCATTTGGCGCCAGCGTGGCCCCTTGAATATTGCACGTTGTTAATTTTTGTGATTGTATATTCCTGGTTTCATCACGCTGCTGCCTAACAGCTCCAACACAAACAATTCTGCATGTATTATGTTTGTTTTTTGTTCAATGTAATTTAAAGTAAATGTTTAAATTGTAAGTTGTAAGCCTCCCCCCTAGTTGTAAGTTGCCCAGGAAAAACAAAAACAATTCAACCCAACCGTCCCACAAATTAACAAGCAGCGAGTTTCAAAAAACTTAACATTATTTAGTAACAAGCAATTAATTTTAAATGCGAAAATTGATTCTTCATCCTTTGTAAATATCCACAAAAATGTGTTTAACGTTTATTACTTTTATATATCGTAATAACAATTAGCCTTAATATCTTATCTAGCTGTACTGAATGTAAATGTAATTCAATAATCGAGCACAAAAGCAAAATTAAAATATATACAATATTCATAAATAATTTAAATGTGTTTGCCAATTATTTAAGCATGTTCGTATGACTTTTTTTAGTTCAATTATGAGGGCAATTTATTTATAACTTGTGTATATGTGCTTAGCTATTTAAATAAAAAACATACATACAAAAAATATGAACAAAAAAATGAAAACCAATTGAAGGGTCTTTTTATTTATCGGCGGGGTTAATAGGGGTTAATTATTCACAGCTATGCTCCACCTACCCAGAACAACAACCACAAGACGTCAATCAATTATTTGGCTCTCCTCTTTGCCCACGCCTTCGCGTTTTCCCATTCTAGCCATTACGATAGCGCTGGTAGTATTGTTGGCTCGCTTGCACTCACGCCATTGGCTAGTGGTTTTGTTTAAATTTTTTTTAAAATTGCTATTATATAAAATTATTAAACTTTTCTTTTTAATTTTAAGTGTGTTTAGAAATTGAACAATTTTTTGTTTAAGCCTTTTAAAGGTTTCTACTTAAGATTGCCATGAATGAATTATTTTTGAAAATTACGTATCCGCAATTTTACATTTTAAAAACAAATATAAACAAAATATATTTGAGTTTGTTATGCTTACTCAAATTAAAAATATTAAATTTGTTACCATTTTGATTCGTTCATTAATGACCAGTGCATTATTTTCTAAATTTGTAAGCCATTTCTTCAAAATTGTTCCTTTTTGTTGCAAAATATTAAAAATATATATATATCTTTTATGCTATAAAAATATAATTTTCCCTTGGGCTTAACTATTATAAATTTTTCCTATTAGGCCAATAAATTTGTTATAGAATAATAACATTTGGAAATATTATATTTAATATATTCAAAAAACATGTAAATCATACCTTTGTGGGCTATTGGTTCTTATGCTTGAGGTTTCTATTTAAATTTTAAAATAATAATTCATGTTTTTGATAGTCTTTATAATCTTTAGATAGAAATAAAATTTTCTAATAAATAGGTTTAAAGTTATAGGCACCATTAATTTAGAATAAAACATTAAAAAAGGCATTTTTATCAAAAACAAAGCATTTATTTAAAGTTTTCTAAAAAATTTTTCAATAATAAAATGTGTATTTCCAAAAGAAAATATTTTAACAATTTTGATGATAGATAGCAGACATGAAAAAGGAAATATTAATTAAAATGTTATAAGAAAATGTACTTTATAGCATTTTAATTCTAGTTTAACAAAAAACCTTTTTAAAAAACACATCTATTAATAGAGAAATTTTATTTCCAAGAAAGATACTTCATAAACTGAACCTATTTTGAGTGAGTGAAAGACCTTAGCTCAGTACGAACCACTTGTAGATTGGTGATGATCATGGTTAGCGACCAATCATATTCAAAATTGAACCTTAACATTGTTAACAAACCAAGCGATTGAAATATATAACCAATAAATAAAGAATTCAAATGAAATCCCAGCTAAACCATATTCAGTGCAAGGGAACAAACCCATTCAGTTGGGCGCCGTCACAACAAACAAGCCGATCGATCTCGAGTGCCAGACGATAGAAGTATATACTATATAGTAGAAACACATCTAGCACTTGAAGGAATACTATAGTGGACTAGTGCTAGCCGACTCCGTGACTCTCGAGAGGGGTTGATTTATAGGGAGAGCGATTGGCAGAATCGGAAATGTCAAAGCAGGGCCTCTGGGAAAATATACAACCTGTCCAGATTTTGATATAACGAATTACCAACTCGGGCTAGAAGCGTGACCGAATCGAATGGAAAACGTTTTCAGATTAAAACAGCGTCCAGGGTTCGTTTTTTTTTTTTTTTAGTTTGAAAATATTTTGACTTTTATGTAAGATGACAAGATGCAAAATAACCCAGGGAGAAACAACAAAAATAAAACTGAAACAGATACAGATATCCGAGCGATAAAGGAAGTGAACGACGTTTTCACACCTATACGCTAAAAAAAATAAAGAAGATACACCAAATTGGAAGCGAAGTTGCAGTGTGTGTTTGCATTTGTTTCTGTTTCGGTTACGCCAAAATGCACATGTCGAGAGATCCGCAGATCCCCGATCCGATTTTTGTGGAACTGGCCGACCTCAACCCGTTCCTCAAACCCTCGATTCCAATGTGGTCGCTGCCCTTTGGTCAGCCTGGCGTAACGAAAATGTTTTTTTGACTTTTGCCGACAACACCGCATTGCATTCAGTGCTGCCTTTTTACATTATTTTTCTTGGCTACTGCATTACACATGCCGCTGCCCAAAATTCGCCGAATTCACAGCTTATGTTTTCTTTTGACCCTGGGGCGGCCATTTTTCTTCACTTCTGCACTCTGACATTCTCAAAAATGGATAAAACGCATCAGATTGGATGTGGAATTGGGCATCTCTTACTCAGTCGCTTGATTTATGACCCCCAAGTATCTGGTTTCTTGGGAAGGCAGTTGGCCAATAGAGGAATGGGGTTGTCCGGTAGAAGGGGGGGCTATAAAGTGTGCAGAGCGATCTCACTCACGAACGGGATATAACTTTTATGGCCGGGATGCATGGAGAAAAATTAAGATTTCTTTAAGGTTTTCAAAGGAATTTATTTTCTTCTATAAAATATTAAAATGTATCTTATGGATACTATTTATTAAAATGGACCTTTTCTTCATAATTAAAGTATCTAAGTAACTTTCATTTCCTTTCTTGGAAATCTAGTAAGATTGCACTGTGTACTCCTCAATATAATTGCTAATAGGGTCCGGAGCAGTTTCCCGCCTCTTCTGCCTCTAACTCCAACCCTCTTCCTGGTATCTTAATTGGCACCCATGGGAGGAGGATCGTCAAAGCGACTGCGACCCCTACGGATACACACATCATATATGTACATATATATAAAAAAAAAGATAGCGTTACCCTGGTCCGGCATTATGCCCAATCATCTCAACAACCGCTTACAGCTGCTCCCCGATCTTCGTACCCCCATTCCAGTCTATTGTCCTCGTCTTCCGCTGGGTCGTCTTGCTGCCATAAAAGTTTATGGCTGCCAGGAAAAGTAACGAAACATTCAAACTTTTTCTGCTGTTAACGAAGCCTCTGGGTTTTCGTATCCGATCCCGATCCCCGATCCGTGATCAATTCTCAGTGACCGTTGTATGTCTCTATTAGCGATGACAATGGCGGACGATGTGCAGCATCCAGCGGAGAGGGACTGCAAAAGATAATAAATTTTATACTATATAACGTCATACATAAATGAATGTAAAAGGAGAATTGCAGTGAGAAAAATATTCTAAAAAGTAAGGAGAAGTTAGGCCCAAGCTTTACCGGGTATTTTTACTAACAAAACGATACTTTTAGAGATTTCCTTACAGAGATACCAAACAATGTCCATACCAGTTCTTTAAAATAAAAGTTATTGAATGGAAAACAATTAATAAGTATTAAAAAATACGTTTATCTAATTTAAATTTTATTTTACAATTTACAGTGTAAATATAAAACCAAGCGGGGGTTGTCAGTCTTTTCAATCAAGCTGTTTTTTAAAAGGAAACCCTCTGATCTGATCTCCATTCCTCCATGGGCTCCGTCTCTGTGCTCCGTCTCATTGTGTACACATCTTTGAGTTTCATATATTTATTGCTGTGAAAAAATGTTAATTCTTGACGTTATACTTTTATTTGACTTTTACATTTCGATCTTCTCGCTTTGAGATCTTCATCCGACCATACATAGTTGACTCTTTCGATTGGCCATCCCATATATCGCATATACAATATATTCGAAGTTGGTAAATTGGTTGATTCGCTTCAGAGTCAGAGTCTACTATGTATTAATTGGTCTGAGGCAGTAAAACGAAAAGCAAGTACCATAAATCAATCGGTGAAAGATATTTGGAGAGGAGTATAAAACGGGAATGGTTATTAGAAAATAAATTTAAAAACAGTATTGAAATGGAGGTTAAAATTTTATGAAAAAGTTACTAATCAAAGAACTTAAGAAACTAGAGAAAGAGAGACTAAAATTACAGAGCTTCTAAGACCTTAAAATATTTTTACAATATCAGAGTTTCTAAAAGTTTTAAAGTTCCTACTAGCAACAATCACATTTTATTAAAAAAGATAAATCACTAAACTATCCGGTTATTGTTTTCAATCCATAAGTTTTTATTTTCAAGTTCAGATCGAATGGAATCGGAATCGGAATGGAAATCAAAACCCCCGGAGACAGTTTCCGTCTATTGTGTGCGGGTGTTTGATTAACACAATCCCTAGTGGCCGACCAAACAGCGACACTTTTATTAGCAATGCACTAATTAAACTCCGTCGTCCGCGTTTGTCACTCGATGCAAATGAATGGCTGCTCTGTGGAGCAGAAGATCATAAAAGCCGCTAAAAGGTGTGGGCGAGAAAAAAGAAAACCAAATCGAAATTCCCCAAAAAAAATTCTGCGTTTTGTTTTCAGTTAGATTTGTTGATTGTATTGATTAGAGCCGTGGTCGAGCTCGCATTTCGTTGCTGGCCTGGCGAGGGTGTAATTAATCACAACACTCAAGTTCGTCACTTGACCAAAGTGCTAAACACGCTAATAAAACAAATTTACATAGACCATAGACAGACCAGACAGACAGAAATGTCTAAAAATCAATACGAAATTGAATCAGAGTGACGTTAAAATGGGTCATAAAATTTTAGTTTTTATGTAATACTTTTTGATCAGGATTTTTTAAAAGTATTCGTTAAAAAAGGGTTTTTGATGAAGGCAGTTAATATAATATATTCAAAAAGCTAAAAAGAGAGTTATTTTTCAATTGAAAAATGGATTTAATATAAGTTTTTAGTTATTTCAAAGATACATATACGATACTTTTATATTCATCTTTATATTCATATTTATATATTGTCACTAAAATCTCTCATTCTCATAATCTCATTTTCATAATCATTCAGTAATACATCTTAGAAAAAAATTAAATTTAAAGCCATAAATGGCGTCCACTTTCACCGGAAGTATGAGTCACCCATTTTAAATTAGCCGCCATTATTCTCAGTCACTTAAAGGTGCTTGCTATGAAACTCATGTTATGGGATACTTGTAAAGGCGCACCCCCATGCCAACGTCCTAAATTGATTCATTATGTTAAATAAAAGTTTTTAAACTTGTTAAAGTTATATTTAGAAAACTTTTAGAACTATATTTTAAAAAGTTAGAAATGCCTGCAATCAATATAACATATGTTAACACTTACTTAACAGAGTTAAACGATTAAAAGTGTTGCAAAACGCTCATACGATATTTGCCCATCCATATTTATCGATATACGGATCACTTTCATCACTATCGCTGAGTTTTGTTTGTCATTCAACAAGAAATTTGGAATTCACTTAATTTCTTACGAAAAACCCTTCGAAATCATTAATCGTATAACAAAATGGTAAGTACCTGAAGCAATAATGGGTCTGGATTATAAAAAATATCTATAACTTGCAGTACCAGCAATCCCTGAAAGTGCAGCCCTCGGAGGTGACGGTGCTGAAAGCCACCGGCAAGGTGGGTTTGCCCACGGAGCCCAACTGCTTCAACCAACTGGCCCATGTCCACCGTCTGCGTGACTCGGAGATGAACTACAACGAGCACCAGTACATGCTGAACATGAACTTGATGCGCAACCGAGAGGGACTCTGCGTTCCCCTGAAGATGGGCATGGATCGCTTTGCCGCTCGTCAAGTGGGCCGCCTGCCCTTCCTTCCCTCCAGGTGGGTTATGTTATGGAGGTTATAAGCTTTAGAATCAGAGGAAGTGTATCTAAGGCCATTCAAAGAAATCTTTGGGGAAAAAAAGTCTCCTACAGATGAAGAATTCATTTTTCTAATTCATTTTCTTTAATTTTTTAGCAACTTGATGGACGATGTTCTTACTGGACGTTGCGACACCCTTGGCTTCGAGGACTTTATGAATCTGCCTGAAAACAGCGAGCAAATGCGCCAGCCCCATGCCGTGGTCGAGAAATCCTTTGGCATTTACTAATTAATTCCCGGATATACTATAAGTTGCTTCTAAAAAACCAATAAAATTAATTAATCAAGGCCTGGCTAAATGATAATTAAGAGCGTTGGTTTCTTTGAGCCAAATTTATTCGTTTTTTTATTTGTTTTACTCCACATCAATATTTAACTAGTTCGTTAAACTTATACATTTTATTCAAACAAATCTAAAATCTAGATGAAAATATTGGCAGAAAGGATTGTACTGAGGAGATTCGTTAAAAAATACATAGTTCATTCAAAATAATTCTTTTTTTTTTTATAAATAAAACCATAAGAGTTTGTAAAATGGACGAATTCGTTTCATAAAATTAGGCTTAGACTTAGGAAAATTGGATCATAAACGGAGGGCGTATTTAAAATATACAAAAAATTGCATATATACAAATAAGATATTCAAAATGAATAATGAAAGTAATAGATTTAACATTTCTTGATTTTCATTTGGATTTTTCACTTCGATTACTTGTGAAATGTAATTTTTAGAGTGATGTTAGAAATACATTTTGAATATTTTTTTGATTTTCGATACGCAACAAGGTAAAATTGCAATGGTTTAAGGTTAGATTTTTGTGGAAAATTGTTTCGTTTTTAGTAGATCCAGTTAACGGGCACCCACTGCTCCTCGTGGCTCATCTGCTCGAGGGTCTCCACCACCTGCCGGAAGGTCTCATCAAAGTCCTCATTCACGATGACCATGTCGAAGTATTTCTCGTACTTCCGCTGGACGAAGCTGCTCTCCTCGACGGTGGCAATCAGGTCGTCATCCTGTTGGGAATAACGATACAAATCGAATGTGTTAAGCAATGTCTGGGTATTCAGGCAGAGGTCTAAAATGGCTACTAAGGTGGCCTAAGTGCACGAAGCAGTTGCGTGATTTTATTACGCTTTTAGGATATATTTTTCTTAAAGTTTTAGGCTTGGGACTTTACCTCATAGAGCGATGCTAGGGACTCGAGCGTACGGGCGCGTCTTGAGCTGAATCTTATGGAACTCTGGCGATCAAACTGTGGAATACGTGCTCGGATTAAAGGAGTGTCTAATCTAAAGGGTTTAACTAAAACATACGGAGAGGTTTCTATTGGAGCCAGTGGCTCTGCGATCGGCGTAGATGGTCTTGAGCTGATCCATGCCGGGAGCTGCTATAAAAATAACAAATGGCATCAATTCCTGGCTGTTGTGCAGGATCTTCAGGGCATTGGGAGCGCAGTCGAGGATGCACATTCGTCCGCTATTAATCACATCCTTGATGGACTGCAAATGTGTGCCATAGAGGTTGCCATTGTGTTCTCCATACTCCAGGAATTCGTTCTGTTTGACGGCCTCCTCCATTTCTTCACGGTCCATAAACCAATAGCTTACACCGTTCTCCTCCAAGGCGCGTTTGGGGCGACTGGTATCTGAAATAAGACATTTTTTTAAGATAAAATGCAATAAAAGGATGGTACAGTAACTTACGTGGAATAACGGCTCCAAACTTGTCCACATCGCTGTTAATTAAGCGCGTTTTAAGGGTCCTCCTTCCCACACCGGAAACACCAATGAGAACCAGAGTTTTCCTGCGGAAAGGTGGCATTCTGGTGACCTCCTCGTAGAGCAATAGCTCCGCCTTGTCGAACTCGCAATTGGCCACCGATCGGTACATGGTCTTGCGTTTTCTCTTTGAGATCTGAAATGGGATTTGTTTAAGTCATAAAAAAGAGTTAAGGATTAAGGACTCACCCTGGTTCCACAGATTCCAATTTTGTGGACATAATCGGCTTCCGGTGCCACAAAAGCTTTGCGCCTCTCCTCAAGTTCCTGGGAAGGTATTAGACCAATTTTATCCGATTCGGCGGTTATGTTCTTGGCCTGCCACCAGTTGGGATCTTTGACATTGATAATCTTAAATAAGGAGAAAGGATATAAACATTATACTATTTTTTTTATAATATTTTAAAACTTACTTGCAAAATGTCGCCCGATTTAAAGGGTAAACCAATATCCCTGCATGGCAGTAGAGAATCCTCCGAGGGATTGTATGTGAACAGGGCACGCATATAACACTATTAATTATAAAAAAATCATTATTTTAATATAATAAAGATTAATTTTGATAGCTAAGCCAAGATTTACTTACTTAGTTGCAATTGATTCAAGAATTTAAAGGGATTTTGGTCTAAGATTGACTGATTTTGAATGAATTATAATTTTGGTTATTTCTAAAAGCATCTAAACACTAAAAGATTTTTAAAAAGACTAAAAATTAAAGTTTTTATGTTTTTATTTAAGTCGTTTAAGGTTTTATTAACTTTTTTCGACAGGAAAACATGAAGAAAAGCCAAACTATTCTTTAAAAACAACTAATAATTATAAATGGAAAAATAACAAACTTTTAGATCAAATTTAATATATTTTTAAGTAAGATTTATAAAAAATAAAAACACTTTCTAGCTAATAATAAAAACATGCAAGCAAGCAGCAATCTCTTGGAAGAATTCTTCTAACCAATAACCAAGCAAACATTAAACTTACCGTTAGTTTCTTTCCCGTCTCGAGACCCGTGATGCCATTCTGTTTTACCTGACCCCCACTCACGGTATATCGACCATTCTTGATCTCCTCATCCACATTGGGTCCAATCTTCAGGGTTAGATTCTCCTTGGCCCTGGACACTTCCACTTGCAGCTCATCGGGTGTTCGTACTGGAGTGCCATTTACCTCCAGGATAACATCGCCCACATGGAGCATGCTCTGCTTGTCGATGACACCGCCGGCCAAAATTCTGGCCACCACCAGTTGCTTGTATTCGTCCAGCTCCACGGTTAAGCCGAGGGGTTTGCTGGGATCTCGGCGCAGGCCGACCATCTTGATGGTCTCCACTGGCATCTTGGTGTTGAGAATGTCGTCCGTGTACAGATAGCCGCCCGATTGGCGTTGGCTGGCGATCTCGAGTTTGGAGGTGGATCCGCCGGCAGCTTTCAGTCGTTGTTCGTAGAGGGCACCTATCTCATCATGGGCGCGCAAAAGGGCCTGTAATTTAAATACAAAATCAGCATAATTGTCAAACAATACAAATAAATAATCAAAAAAAGCTGAAGAAGTAAGACTTCCTTTATTTTTGAAGAATAAACAAACAAGATAGGGCGTCTTCCGGACAGGAAATGATAAATACTTACTCGAAAATGTGGTTGGGCGAGAAGCTTGGCTAATTCCCGCGACTCTAAACGCCTCGAGGGTGAAAACTTTCTTATAATATCGTCACAGATCGGTTTATTATTCAGATGAGCGGGCAGGAACAGTGGCACCGGCTGTGGTTCTGTTGGATTCAACTGCAAAAAACGACAATCATATGAAAAATATGCGAATATAAAGACTTGGTCATGTACATCTAATTAAATTCTGGATTTTGTCTGGGGCGTGCCTGCCCTAGGTCAAGTTATACTGTCTTTTTTTTCCATTTAATTGAGTGAGTGAGTGAGTTAATTGACTTGAAGCTTCTTTTTATGTTTTTTTGGGCAGCCTCCTCCCTTCTTTTGGGCTCTCGGCTACCATTTAACCCCAACGTGAACTCTGCTCTATTGTATTCTTTGCCCCAGAGACAAGGAAATTCTTGGAGTCTTAGGTCAAAAATTAGGTCGCTTGCTGTTTCAATTTGGGTCGCTAGAAAAGTGAATTTTCTGCTTTAATTGCTACATAATTTCATCTTCCGGAATCTTTTGTGGCTTTTGCAATTATTTGGAATCTCTCCAGCTTTTGTGGCTGCTCTCACGTTTTCCGCCCACGCCTGGGAAAGTCATCTGAGTCAGCAACTCATGCAATATTTATATGTATGTATATTCCGATGTGGGTGGAAATTGATGAGAAATACTATCTCCAGGGAATTTGATAAGCGAAAGGTAAGGAAAATGAATTAGTTAAAGTAATTTTATTCCGGTTTCTAAAAATAGTTTTACCTTCATTAAATTTAACTAACTTCGAATTATTTATAAAGAAATATATATCTGATTTAAGTTCTACCCTTTTTCAGATTATATATCTAATCCTTAGATACAATTTCCTTTCAGTTTTTTCCCCTTTTCTTATAGATAGTTTCAGTTTCCGTGTGAAAACCGTTTGTGGAAGCCCTAAAAGGCTAAAACAGAGAAATGTGTTGGTAATCCCCACCCATTTGTCTCACACACCCACAATTTGGTTATTGATACTTTTAAACATAGGGCTTTCACCTCCACTCAACAAAAAAATGTCAGTGTTTTCTTCATGACAACGTCAAGTGGATATATCCCAAAAATAATGTATCTTTTTAGTGCCACAACAGGTGTTTACTAATTAAGCCAACTGTTAATTAGAGGCACAAACACGTAAACAACAATGGAATTTGTTTTTTTTTTTTTAATATTTTATGCGACGTGCGAAGGCTAAATGGGGTTTCTGAAATTTAACCTAAAACTTGGCCAAAATACAACATTAAGTTATGCATTTTAATAGCTTATTGCAAGCGTATTACATTCTTTAATAACTTTATCTATTTGGTAATTTGTTGTTTGCTTAATTTTTATATACTTTTATTTATTTTTTTTGTTTTTTTTTTTTTTGGAGCCACTCCCAAACCGTTTGCGAGCGGTTCAAGCCAAGAGCGTAAGCCGGAGAGCCTCTCTTTTTTTTGTTATTTTTTCTATGTGTTTTGGGGTTTGAGAGTTGCGTCGGGTTTCGTAGTGTGGAGTTTTGGGTTTTTGGAAATGCCAAAACATGGCCAAGACTGTGTTGGCCAGGTTACACAATGGGGGGGTTAAAACGGTTCTCGGCGACTACGTCATCAATTGAAGCTCGGCAAAGCTTTCGTATCGAGGTAACCAAGGCAGTAACACAACACACCAATAACTGTTCCAGTTTTTCCTTTTACCACAATATTATTGATCTGCCAAGTTAACACTTTTTATTGGTAATATTACTATTTGGTTTAAATTTGAAGAAGCGTTTGCAGAGAGCGAATGAAAATGCTGAGAGGGAGAGGCCTAACTAACTGTTGCATATGCCGCCCCGTTTAAGCCACGCTCACACTCACACACACACACACACCTAGGCACTTAATGCTCAGTGAATCGAAAAAACCGAAACGCGCGTTTTGAAACCGGAATGGCCAACCTCACCTTAGCGCTGCTCGAAAGTATCTGAACTGACTCACAAGTATCTGAAAGCCAGCAGCGAGAGTTAGTGAGCGAGTTAGGGCTAGCTGTTGTGCCATCTCCCTCACTCTACCTTGCACTCTCGCTCCCTGACTTGCCGTGTGTCGGAGTGTGTGTGTGGGGGGAAAAAGCTCAGCACGAGACCAGTTACAACTGTACACTTTTAACAGTGGCTTAAAAGGCAAACTTTAGATAACAGTGGCTTGCTCTCCGGCTGTTAAATGGCTGTTTATGAAAAGTAGGCTTTAATGTGGTTACATTATGCTTGGTTTATAATTATTGTGTGGTTTAGGGAAATTAAAAAACATTTTCTAAATATGCTTTCCATGAATTAATATTTGTGTAAGGTTTTTTAATAATATTTTGTGCTTTTAGCTGGTTATTAAGTATTTTGTAAGTCCATTTAATTGTATTTGTTGAAAGTGCAAGTTATGGTTCATTGAATTTACCCTTGAAATAAAAAGAAACTACACTTTAGAAGTAAAACAAGATTAAATTTCAAAGATTTTGGATATTTTTTCTGTAATTTTAATGTATTTATTTAAATATCCTTTCTAGAATATATTAGATATAGAATTATTTTGAATATTTCACAGTTAAAGTGACCTAGACCTTTGGCTTACAGAGCGTAAAGGAAATAAAGTTATAGTTCTTAAAAAAAAGGCTTCTTCCTTACCAAAGATTGACTTTTACAGGCTTTTACTAAAATTTTTTTCAATAAAGAAAAAAATGAATCAACCATTAAATTTAAATATTTAAGAAAATATGTTAATTTCCAAGATCTTTAATTTCTTTAACATAATCTTGTTTTAAAGCAGCTCTCCTCTCTTCTCTTTTATGCTCCGTCCAAAGCTTTAAAGCCCCTCTTTCTCTTTAAGCCAATATCCACTCTCTACCAACCGCAGCTGCATTAGTAGGCCAACAAGTTAAGCGCTTTTTGTGCATCGTTTTCCAACTCAGGCAGCATAAAAAAAGCATCGGCACTCTGGCATGTGTTATTTTTATTTACTCTGAAAAATTGTTAACAAAACCGGTTTTCTTATTCACACAGGTATTTGTACTACCACAAAACACCACTTCTTTGGGGCGTTGATGCCAAAGAGTTGACACGGCGACTCTTGGCTTATTTTATGTAATCTACATAAAATCAGGGGGGGTGTGTCCCCCAAAGGAGCGGTGACGAAAGAAAAACTTGGAAATCTGTGGAAAATGAAGGTGACATTTCATATTTTCTTATCTCGTGACTGGTAGGTTTAATTACTTTCACTGCCTTTCTCAACGGCCACAGACCGCAGCAGAAAACCCATCGAAAGCCCCTCCCGCCCAAGAAAATGCGGTGGAAAATGTTGGATTCTAATTATCGGAGTCACGCGATGTCGTTTTCCATTACAGAGTTTCGGTTTGTTTTGCTTCTGCAATGCCTATTTAAGGTCTTAATAAGTGGAGAGTTGGCTTATTCGATAGTTCTTTTCATAGGGCATCTAAAATTCGGTTAAGATACATATTATTAGCCAAAATTCCCTCATTGTTTTTATAGTTTCCTCGCGTGTTTGCCGCCTAATAACCACAAATATTTACTATTTGATTAAGTTACAAACAATTATGCAGAATTCTTGGCCCAAATAGAACCCAAAAGAGGCGTTAAAGCCAAGTAAACATTTCAGGTCAGGCCTCTTCATCTATTATATCATGATGATCTAATAAAAATCTCTCCGCATCAGCATAAAAGCCAACTCATCTGCCTTGGCCAAAGTGGTAAGACAATAGGGGTCAAGTTTAGTGCGAAAATACACAAGTGAGAAAGCAAAAAAGCAAGTGTTAATGGGCTATAATAATTGCCATAAAAGACAAAAGAGATGGAAAGCAATTGAAGAGGCTCTGAGCCGACACATCCAACAAAATCATTCGCCCAGAAGGAAGGGTTCAGTTCAAGTGGGGTAAATGATTTTCTGTGTTTGGAAAATCTGGCCCAAGGAAAATGATGTAATAAAGAAAGCCAACACACGCTCACACACTCGCCCATCATGCCTAAACCAGGAAAATTCTATCTAGACCAAAAAATCAGCATGCAATGCCATCAATAAAGTAAACAAAGATTGCCCCTGTATGTGTGTAGGTGCGAGTGTGAATGGAAAATGTGGAAAAATTACAATACATATATGAACAATTTTCTTATTGAGCAGATGCTCGAGTGCAGAATAAGTGGGTCAGAAATTGTACTCAATTTTACATATATTTCTTTGGATATTTTTTGCATTTTTACTATATTTTCTGGTCTACTTACCATCAGTTCCTTGTGGGGTGTGGCGGGATTACTCCGTAATAGGCCCTTGAGGAAAATCTCATCATGGTCAGACAAATCGGTTGAGTTGCGAAAGGCGGCTTTAAAAAAAAAACAGGCAAGGAGAAAAGTGTTTAAGATAAGAGTACTCGTAAAAAACCAATCGAAAGAACAGTCTAAATGACAATCGTTTTGGCAGCTTAATGTACTGTTACGAGTGTCAGGGACGTTCTTGGAGGTTTTTGAAGGGGCTTATAAGAGGAATTATTTATTATGAAAGGTAAGGCAAGAGTTCTTAATATTTTTTTCATTTATTTATTATGTTTGTTGACCTATTCTTAGTATAATGATGTTTTTTAAGATAAACAGGTTTCTAAAGAACATAAAAAAAACAGAAGAAGTACTCCGATGAACTGGTCTTACTTATTTTAAAGTCTATTATTATTTCTTTATTTACGTATATTTTTGTATTTTTCACCACAACTTTATGTGAATCCTTTAAAAATAACCCCCTTTTGACACCCATGACACGTACCATTATCTGACGTATCGTCCTCGCCATTCACTTTATTGTTGCTGGCCAAGAGCTCAACTTTATCCTGACGGGCTGCCCGTCGCGACCTAGCGCTCCAACGCACCATCCTGGCGCCAAACAAGAGGACCAAGGGGTGGCCGGAAAGGGGTAGAAGAAGAAGAAGCCCAAACTCCAAACAGACACTGAGAGTTGGTCAAACACAGTGACCTGTAATGTAACACCAAGGCCAAAAACAAAAAAAAAGGAATCTTTTATGTTTTGGCCATATGTTTATACACACAAAAAATGGGCTTCAAGCTATAATCACTTGTTGTTATTAGTATAAACACACGGAACCATACGAAAACAATAACAACAACAACCAGCGAGTGGAAGACTGCGAAAAAAGAGCCACTCCGCGACCGAAGAAACAACCGTCAGCGGCACGAGAGATTCTCCAAGTGAGAAATGCCATTAGTTTCAAACTTTCTCATCAGAATGCTCTCAAGCTTTCAGCTTCGTTTTCCAACACTTTGCCAGAATGAATATTGGCCAGATAAAGCTTTTCTTTAGTTTGCGGTAGATACAAAGATACATTTTGAGCAAGTTGGCAGCTCTTTTTATACCGTCAATTTATGTTTGAGTTTTAAAAATAAATATTTGTATACCCTTGGAGAGGATATTATAATTTTGGTCAAAAGTGTGCAACAGATTGAGAGACATCTCAAACCATTTTAATTTAATTCCTTAATAGTTCCTATAGAAAAAACATGTTGGTTAATAAATCTTAAAGTGTAAGCCCGTATGTTTTCATTGCCTACTTTTAAGAGCTCATAGTGTAATGCATATAAGACGCATAGTAATAAAGACATTTTAACATTTTAACGTTTTTTTTGGACAAGAAAACATTCTAGAACATTTTTTAATTTACTAAATACTTAATAAAATTTAAAAAAAAAGCGATCGTCAACTTAATTCTCATCGATTCTCTTATGTTGAAAAATCAGGAAAATAACTATATATTTTTTATCTGCTTTGGTTTTGCAGCTGTTATTTATTATGTGGTAAATAATTTTTATTGCATTTTTATGTATATATGTATACATATATATATAAATATTTTTTTTGTTTAATTTTTTTGTTGTTTTTGTTTTTTTTTTATTGCAATATCTATCCGATTATGATTATAGCAGCTGCTTTATATATAAGCTTGGAACATTTTCAAAGACCTTATTAAAACAAACAAACGGCTATTTATTTACCAAAACCTAATGTTTTCTAGTCACCAAGAAAAATTACCTTTAAACAGGTTTGTCGTTTTTATAGCCCCATTATGAAACTAATCCATTAATAAATTATGAATTTTTAATTATGATAGCAAAGTAAACAGCGTGCCCAAATGGATTCTCTCTTGGTAGGTAGCTCTTTAAATTAAATCAAAATATTGCACCCACGGCGAAGAGCTTTCTCTGACAAAAGCCTCCTCTAGCCACCTGTAAGAGAAATGGCCAAATATATAATACCAGGCCTGCATCTGGCCAAACTTCAGTCACAATTCGACTTCGGTTCCGTGCGGTTCAAGATTGCGGTTTTCCTCAAAACTCGACTTAGTTTTCCCACATACACGTTGAGAAACAATTCGGTGAAACACATAACTTTGGAAAACAACAACCGACAAAACTGGAAATGAGGCAGAAAATGCTTAGCCCGGGGGAAAATGTAAATTGCCAAACGGGTTTCACAGTCAAGGTCGTGGCTTCCGCCCAGCGACGTCGCCGCCGGCGGTTATCGGTGCGAAATTTCGTTTTCTGGCACCCACAAATAGTGTGGGCCAGCATCTTAATGGTTGTGTTAATGTCCATATCATCGCTGGATGCTCGGGGCATTGGTAATTTCTCCAATTTTATTTGTCAACTGGGCTGTTGATTGGGTGCGTGCTCCGCCTCATGGCTGCGATCCGTTCCGGCCAGGTCCACCACGAATTTATTTTTTGGCATGCGCATGCGCGCGCATTGGGTGTGAAAGTTGTCGATCTGTTATATAACCAGAGCCGAGCCAAGTGGGGAGATTCAACTGGGGGCCAGCCAAGTGGTCCGGGTTGCGTTTGTGTCGCGGCGCCCGCCCCGAAAAGAAAAGAGTGTGCATTGAACCCCACAATGACAGTTGCTGAAATTTTCCTGACCCGCTCTCGAGTCTCGAGATGATAAATTTACTTTCTAAATGCTGCAGCTCCTCAGCTGCTGTCCAGATACAGATACAGCCGCAGATGAAGATTGAGATACATAGATACACAGATACATAGACACTTGCCGCATGCGGACTATCTGTTATAGCCATATCTCGAGATCGCATCTTGCATTTGGCCAACACGCGTCTCTTGCCCAATCGCCTGAGTTACGATCTGGTGCGGCACGGCTACGGGCCATTGCTGCCAATCCAAAAACATGATGCAAACGCATTTCGTTTATCCGCAACAATGTGGCACATAGGACGGGGGCGTAGATTCGAGATGTAGGGGTTTCGTTTTTTAGAAATAGAGTCTAGGTGAGGTTTTCCGGTTCGTTTTCATACAAACAATTATAAGAACATAAGATATTAAGTCTTATACTTAAAACCATTCCACTAATAACCCATAAGCTTGGAAATATTAACCAATAATATGTATCTCACAATGCTATTACGTTTCCTGGGATAATCTTAACATTTCGTGACTAGTTTCCATCTGAAGGCTTTTTTTAAAAACTTTAATCTAACCAATGAAATCTTGGCCTTTCAAATTTGAAACTTTTCCTTGAAATATCATTTTTATAAGGGCAATAATATGTTTGGGGTTTTTCAAAACAATTCAAGTGGAAAACGTGGGACTTATGATCGACTATTTCACCTACTCCCCCATTGGCACAACGCCCGTGCCGCAATTTTTAGTGCGTGATTGGTATCCAGCAAAAAAAAAAAATAGATAGATATATAGATATATATTGCTGCAACCGGCAGTCAATGGCTAATTTTGGGTTGACGTGAGCGGTTCCTATTTGGGTCAACGCATTAATTAGTCTCCTTGTTAATTACACACGGCTCTCTCACACCCAGTTTATGTGTGCCTGCTTTGCAGACAATGATGGAATAATCAGCCACGCCACCAACCTCACTCGCCACCGACGCTCGACCTCCGGATCGGTGACTGGAGCAGCAGCAGCAGCAACACCAGCCAATTGCATGCAAGATGCACGTTTCTATCGGAATCCCAACAGGCCGGTGCACAAGATCTGGACGAATAGTGAGTGTGCCAAGTATTTCCTATGTCTCGACGGCGAGGTGTTCGAGTTCAAGTGCTCCGAGGGCCTTCTCTTCGATGTGGTGCGCCAGATCTGTGACTTTAAGGCGAATGTGGATAATTGCGATGTGAGTGCTGAGACTCCCGGCTCCCAAGCCGCTTCTGGAAATGGCCGACTGCGCAGATGAGTACCAGTTGGGGTGTGCCGATGGCACTTGCCTGCCACAGGAGTACTTCTGCGACGGATCTGTGGACTGTCCCGATGGGTCAGACGAAGGCTGGTGCGATGTGGAGCACGATCCCAATGCGGCTGGAGCCTGTGATCCGAGAAACTGTCAGTTGCCGCACTGTTTCTGCTCGAAAGATGGCACTCAGATACCCGGAAATGTTCCCGCCCAGAGTGTCCCCCAGATGATTCTCCTGACCTTCGATGATGCCATCAATCACGATAACTGGGAGCTGTTCTCCAAGGTTTTGTTTACGCAGAATCGGAGAAACCCTAATGGATGTCCCATCAAAGGAACCTTCTATGTCTCACACCCGTTTACCAACTACCAGTATGTCCAGAAGCTATGGAATGATGGTCACGAAATAGCCGTGCATTCAGTAACGTAAGTTCTATGATTGTGGTTCCTAAGAATTCTAATTAAAAGAGGTCTTTGCAGCCATCGCGGTCCAGAGATGTGGTGGTCCAAGAACGCGACTATCGAGGATTGGTTTGATGAGATGGTTGGTCAGGCCAACATCATCAATAAGTTTGCCGGAGTTCGAATGGAGGAGATACGCGGAATGCGTGTTCCTTTCCTCCGAGTGGGTTGGAATCGGCAGTTCCTCATGATGAAGGAGTTTGGATTCGTTTACGATGCCTCAATGGTGGCCCCTCATTCCAATCCGCCTCTTTGGCCATATACCCTGGACTACAAAATGCCCCACAGCTGCACAGGAATGAATCAGAACTGTCCCTCTAGAAGTTATCCCGGGATCTGGGAGTTGGTGATGAACCAACTGGAGGCAGGTGACTATATGTGTGGCATGGTGGACAGTTGTCCTCCACATTTCAATGGGGAAGACGTGTACAGAATGCTGACCCACAACTTCAAGAGGCACTACTTGAGTAATCGAGCTCCATTCGGGTTGTACTTCCATTCCACTTGGTTTAAAAAGATTGATTATCTAAATGCATTCTTGGTGAGTCCTTAACCATGTTTCCTGCCATTTTATGATATATAATGGGGTTTTCGTATTTTTTCTTTAGAAATTTCTTGACGATCTACAAAAACTGCCGGATGTCCACTTTGTAACCAACCAGCAAGCTATTGAGTGGATGCGTCATCCCACGCCCAGTAACCAGCTGCATCAGTTCGAGTCCTGGCACTGCAAGCCCAAGGATCTCGATCCCCATGAAAGAGTATGCAGTCTCCCCAATGTGTGCAAGGTACGGAGTCGTGTTCTTCAAGAGGATCGCTACTTTTACACGTGCATGGAGTGTCCTGCCCAGTATCCCTGGATACGCAATGAATTTGGGTTGGACTAAGGTGATAAAACAGGTTAATTTAGAAAGCCTTTGATGGACAAGACAATTGGACATCGATGGTATGTCTTTCGAGTGCTGAAAAATGTAGTGTAACTAGACTTAAGAATAATTTATATACACTTCTTCGCTAAATATATTTAAACTGAAATCCACAATCGTTTTGTACTTAATATATGTAGACCTGGATCTAATCCCGCTAATCTTTCATTGCGTTATAAACGGGTTGGCGATGCTCTCAACTCCATCCTGTGGACAAATGAGTACCAAAGCTGTGCCTCGACACACAACCAGTCCCAGACTTCTGGTTGAATCTTCTGTTAGCTTGTAGGGTTCATCTGAGTCGCGGAGATACTCTACTGTATTATCTAGGACCAGATTTAGTAAAGCATCGTATCCTTTCAGAATGCCGGATGCCTCGCGGCCGCCCGCGAATTTGACGCGTATCTGTTTCTCCAGATACTTGGAGAGGTCCAGAATGGACTCCTTGCGACGCTTCTCCTTGCCATCGTTGTTTCCACCAATCTTAAACAATGTAAGACTAGAGTTTAGGTTTGGCCATTTAATGAATTTAATTTATAAAATACCTTTTTATCTGCCATTCTAGTTGATGTTTTTTTGCTGAATGCCGGCAGAGCTGAGCAAAAATCTATCGATAGTTATTAGAGATGACACAATCTCAAAGTCAAATTCTAGTGATAAAAGGGTATCATTTTCTGAACAGATAAAAATCAAATCTTTTATACAGATTTACATATTTACAAAAATAATTATAGTTTTAAAACTTTAGCTTATTGTATTTCATTATTTTCCGTAAAAGAATATCGATATCGCGGCATGCAACTTCGACTGCCCGATCTCTCATCCCTGGTCGTGACTTACACTCCATTTTGTTTTCTCACGACGCTCACGTTGCAGAACATTTTTTCAGTACAATAATTTGCAATTTTTTACCAAATAATCGAGATTTTAGTTAATTAAAGTGTTTTAAAATAAACTTGAAGCTATGGGACGCAAGAAGAAGAAGGCCTCAAAACCCTGGTGCTGGTATCCTTTTCAAAAACAAATCGCAAAGTTTTTTTCCTTCACGGCATGTGCCGCTGCCTGGGAGGCAAACGAGAAAATTTGTATCTACACATACACATATATTTATATAATGGGAAACGGGGGGTAAAAGGTACATATTTTGGTGTCTTGGCATTTTCCTTAACTCCTTACTAGGTACTGCAACCGTGAGTTTGACGATGAGAAGATCCTTGTGCAGCACCAGAAGGCGAAGCACTTCAAGTGCCACATCTGCCACAAGAAGTTGTACACCGGCCCGGGACTCTCCATCCATTGCATGCAGGTCCACAAGGAGACAGTAGACAAGGTTCCCAATTCCCTGCCAAACCGCTCAAATATCGAGATCGAGATCTTTGGAATGGACGGCATTCCAGCTGAAGACCTCAGAGATCATGAGAAGCAGAAAAACGGTGGCAAGTCCGATTCTGATGACGATGAGCCCGTGGCCAAGAAGAAAGTCGACTGTGAGTGGTCTTTGGTTCATGCCAAAGAATACCCTTTAAGTTTATTCCATTTCAGACACGATGAGCGTGCCGCCTCCCATGATGATGCCGCCTAACTTGATGCCACCGCATATGCTAGGACAGTATGGAATGGGAATGATGCCACATATGCCACCACTGCCTCCGTATCCGGTGCCAATGATGCCGCATATGATGCCGCCGCGACCACTTTTTCCGGCCGCAATGGCCACCACCTCAGCGGCGGCAGCAGCAGCGGCGGCGCATCACCACCATGCCGCCGCCATGGCCCAGCAGAAGCCCACGTTTCCAGCTTACAGGTGGGCATTGCACAAAGGGAGTAAACTATATAATATAGATTGAAGAAATATAGTTTCTCCCTTCCATTTGGCCTTCGATGAAAGAGCCACAGAATCTATTGTTCTTCACTAAACATTAAATTTATATTCCCCAATATAGTAATGCAACCATAAGTGCTCCGCCAACTACCAACCATGCTGGTGGCGTAACTGGCGCACCACCAAGTGGCCCGCCAGATGCCCAGCAACCACCGCAACAGGGTCGACCTCCAGTCCCGCCAGGTGGAGCACCCGGTGCTCCGGCGGCCGCTGTAACGACAAAGATTATGCACCCCACAGATGATGCGAGTCTGGAAGAGCTGCGCGCCCGGCAACCCAAATATCAGCTGCGGTTGGCAGCTGCTGTGTCAGCCATCGCCAACTCCCAAAAGAGCAAGAGCCCAAGCAATAACGGTGGCTCCTCAACGTCCATGCCCGCGACTCCACCACCGCCTTCGTTAGCGGGGATTTCACCAACGGGCAGCAGCAACAGCAGCGGTATGGCGTCCGCAAACGCGATTGCCGTTTCTACAGCCATTTCGAAGGCCCAGGAAGTGAGTTCTTATCATAGTTATAGAAACCATAGTCAATATAAATGAGCAGACCTGGACAGATACGATTTAAAGATGCAAACAGCAGCTGACCCTTAACTATGACTGAAATCGGACTTGTAAAAAAAGACAATTTGCCCAATTTCTAATCGAAAAAAATAGAACTAACCTTAAACACACTGCTCTGACTCAACTCCGATTGCATTTTGCACTCTTAAAGAATTCCATTTACATTAACTGGACAATTTTTAACGTTTACGGATATTTGTTAGAAAAGCGCCTCTTTTTTGTGAATTTCTAGTTACAAAATAAGGCGAACATTGCGTTCAAACTGACTGCTGTCGTACGAAAACCAACGGAAATTATAAATAACAAAATGGAATTAATTAAAAAAAAAAAAAATCACTTTTTTAGCATATAGTATGATATATGTCTGTATAATTTTTTAATTAAAACAAGAAAAAAAAAAATTAATGGCAACAAAAAAAAAACGAAACGGCGGTTTTCAATTAAAGGTGCTTTCATTTAAAGCAATATAACATCCATAAAGAATTCGATAAAATCGGCCAGTGGGGAAACTTTTACATTTTCTTGGTCCCGATACCTTAATCCCTATATAAACATTTTTTATATAGGTACTATATAGTATGCATTTATAGAATCATCATAAAGTGTGGGGTTATATTTTAGCTAAATAATATAACTAAAGGAATTTTATTTTTGGAAGTCTTACTTTTGTAGAGTCATTTTATAATTCTTTTAAAAAGAATTTGTTTTAAATCGAACATATAATTTTAATTCTAGTTACCTAGAGATCTTAGATTTTTCTTAGCAATTAAATTTTTTAGTTACGCTTTTAAAATGTTAAAAATTGTAATTTTGTTTCCGAATCCGAATAAAATTGGCCAAGAATTTGAAAAATATTTTTTTATTTCACTTTTAAATAGTATCAGAGGAGGGTTAAGATTCCTTAAGTTTGTGGTTTTAATAAAAAGTCATACTTTTCCACGTTTTGTATATTTTTTAACCAGTTATTTGCAAAAAACCGTTTTTAATTTGGAATTCTTTAAGAACGGCATTTTAGTGAAGAAAATACCATACAGTACTTACTCCCCTCCCAGTGGAAAGCTAGTTGAATACAAACGATTCCCAAAATTCTTTTCCAGACCGCCGCTCTAGTGGCCGTGGCTCAGGCTCAGGTGGCACAGGCCCAGGCGCATGCACATGCCCACGCGCAGGCCCAGGCCCAAGCACATGCCGTGGTCCAGGCGCAGGTGCAGGCTGCTCATGTGGCCCAGGCGGTGGCAGCCCAGCAACAGGCGGCGCAGCACCAACAGCAACAGGCCCAGGCAGTGCATCAGCAGCAACAGGCCCAGGCAGTGCAGCAGCAGCAGCAGCAACAGGCAGCGCAGCAAGCGGTCCAGCAGCAGCAGGTCAAGCAACTGGAGGAACTGAATCGGGCGGTGATGATGCAGCGGTTTCAGGCCGTCCGCCAGCCGGCAAATCCTGGCGCTGCGGCAGCGGCTGCAGCTGCCGCAGCCGTCGGCATGGTAAGTCTCTAATCCTGTGATGCTGCGCAAGCAATGCCAACAACCAACCGAGAAAGAACATCTTGACCTAACAACTCGAATCGAATCCCAAGTGCCTGAGAGTCTCAATTTAAGAATGATGGGGCAAGAGAACCGATCTTGTTGCCCATGGGTGGTGCTATGTAGCCAACGTCAGCATTTTTTGAGTGGGTTAACCCATAGAGATGATTTAGTTTAGAGCTTCGCCATCATCATTGCATCACTGCCAGATCATGCCAATTGTCCTCTAGTGGCAGTACATAGCCAAGCTTTAATGGGGTCCCCAATCCAATACTAAATCCGGGCTTAAGCCAAGCTAGTTTATTATAAGAGGTTAACCCCTCCCTACACTCGCAAAACTAATCCTTATTTTCTGCAGTTGAAATCGTTTCCAAGGACTTTAAAATGTGCTTGAAACTTCATTTGTAAAAAACCAATCACACCTAGTTTTTTAAAACAAAAGATGTAAATTATGACCAAGTCTAGAGCTCAAAGCTTTTAATTTTATGTGGCTAACACGATTTTGTAATTAATTATATTTTTTAAAAATTTCTTCCTTCGAACTTTCTGAAATCTTCACATTGCTAACGCTTTTGTTTCTTCATTTTCCAAGCACATTACAAAGGGCCAACGATTTCAACTGTTTTTACTAATAATTACTTACACTATTACAAAACCTTGAGAAACTTTTTAAGCTTCTTAAATCTGAAAAAAAAAATATGTTAAAGTTACCATTACAATTGCAGTACAGTGCAGAAGTTCAGTGTTGATAAGCAATCAATGAGTTGCAAAAGTGTTGCGCAGGGTCCCCGAACAGTGTTACAGTATGTATTGTTTTTATACAACAAAAAGTTTATTATCTACCCGCTCCTTCACCATCCGAGAACAACCTTATCACTTTACCCCTTTACCCTAGAAAGAAAATTAATAATACACCTGCGATATGAGAAAAGTGCGAAATGCAAAAAGATAAGTAAAAGCCAAAAAACTCAATAATAATTTTACTTAGTCGTACTTATGCAAGTAATTATGTAGTCTAAGCAAGTACCTACTCTCCTATCTCTCTCTCTCTCTCAACTGTCACATCCATGCGTATATAATCCATATGATAATACCCATACTCCCCCCAAGAAAGTTCCTAGTACGTACTGCCTTGCAAGTAAACAGAAACAAAATGAATTTATATCAGTATTAATGAATGAGAGAAAAGTCGTGAGTTATGTTTTTTAACTATTTTGCAAGCCATGTAAGTACATTTCAATAATTTCTATTACCAAAAAACAAAAAAAAAAAACCAAAGAAAAAAACATCAATTACTTTGAATTTGTCGTAATGGTTGCTGCGTTGGTTGGTTTAATTGATTGATTGATGATTGATTGATTGGTTGATTGATTAATTCATATCCACAAAATATACACATGAGTTAAGTAAGACAACACACCGCATTGATATGTCTCTCTCTCTATATCTCTATCTATCTATCTCTATTATCTCGAGAACTTCACGATGAACCAAAAAAAAAAATTAAAACCTACCATAAGCATAATATCTAAATGTTATTTGATCTGTAAATTGTACTATCATATCAATGTTTTATGTTCTTCGAGTCGTGCATCCCCGTCTTTATACACAGATCTTGACCCATAACCACTTCCATACTAACTCTCACCTCATCCGGTCTTAATGCGCAGTACATATTTGCTTTTTCAAGGTAGAGGGCTATCGGTTGGACGTACTATTATTATTTTAATATTTTTTTTAAATTAATTTTCCAACCGCCAAGCTTGCCACAGCCCTGCTCTAAAACCCACAATCCATCCAACCATCCATTCATCGTACCATTTTTCACGAAATCCAAAACTCAAACTCACTCTTAGCCAAGTTTTTGAAACTAACTTCTAACTGAAAGATATTGGAACTTGAACTCGACTCTATGCCTCCGGTTAGTAAATCATTTTACTATTAATTTCTCTTAAGTGTCAATACGATTAATTTGTTTACGTGTTGCTCCAATTGAAATTGATATGCAACTCAATTGTTAAGATACGAAACCTTTACTGGTTTGCAATGCAATTCCCTCACACCTTCCACAACACCATCGTCGTCGTCAGTTCAGTTTCCGAATTGTAAGTACTTTTCTTTTTACAATCAACAAATTATTTATTTACGAAAAAAAAAATAATAATATTGTTTTTGCCGTGGTTCAAAGAGAAGATGTTGTCTCTTACCGCTCTACTCAATATTCTACTTTATATATCTTGTCTCTGCTCTATCATACATTTGTAATGCGATGCAACAAAAAAATATAAATTATAATTATACAAAAACCGTTTTCCACCCACAACAAATCAACCCAAAAACACACACACACACACCTCTTATCCATCTATTGAATAAGTACGCAAAAACCAACTTATTAATATTTTAAATGAAAAAAAAACCAAAAAACAAACATAATTAATAACAAACTTAGCTAATTTTGTGTACAATGGCTTTAATATAGACCAGGAAAAGCTACCACCACGAGAATTAATCCGATCTCAATTCCACGCTCTTCTATATCTTTCTCTCCGCCATCCGATCCGCCACTCCAGATGCCGATGCAGCACATGCAACTGATGCAGCCCATGCTGAGACCCGCAGTCGCCATCGGACCCCATGGAGCGCTCATCGGAGGTAACATGCTGAGGGCAGGTGCCCCTGGACTGCCCGGCGTTCCGGCAGGTGAGCTATTAGACTTTAATTAAAAAAATCAATTAATGAAATTATTTTGATAGGTTTACTGCCCATGCAAGCAATAGGCCTACCAGGGTTACCGGGAACCCTACCCGCTGGAGCCATGCCCATGCACGGAATGGGAGTAATGCTGCCGGGTCATCCGAACATGCTGCAGATGATGCAGCCACGATTCAGATGATGTTTGCCGGCAGCGCCGGGCTTGTTGCAAACGCCACCGGTTTCGGCCGCAGTGGCAGCTGCAGCAGCAGCAGCGGCAGCAGCAGCAGTCCAGCCAGCCACGCACCTGCAACCGCATCCACAACGGCCCTATTCAAGGCCACCAGCCGGAATACCGACGCAAGCGCCACTCTTGAGTCTGCCGCTGCAGCTGCCGCTGCTTTTCCACGAGTAGGGAGTGAGGAGCAGGCAAGGATCAAGCTTAAATTTGGCTAAATGCAAGCCAGCCAACAGACAGTGCACCCAGCAAGCAAGTTGTTTTTAAAAACTCCAAACAAAAGTCAAGTTCTTTTTCAATGTATAACAGTTTTTTGAGACACCACACCCACGCCCAAGCTCACGCCAACGACAATACCCACAACAGCAACAACACACCACAAGAACAACGTACACACCATGCCTGATAAATCAGTGAATGCGGTATATATGTGTATATATAGTACATATGTATTTCATTCGATTGCACTTCATCTTAGCTTTTGTTCTAAACCCAACTGTTTAGTTTTCCTAATCCGAATTTGTCAATGTGCGTGCAAACCTTCACATCTCTTTGGATATATATTATGTATATATATATATGTATATATATCTGATTTGTGCTATGTCTATAACACACAATGTACCAAAAACTGCTAACACATAAACGCGCAGACACACACCCACTCTAACATTATCCATCTGAAGCTATTTTGATGTGCTGTGTAGAAATCTATCCTCTATCTGTATATCTATATATCTGTATAATCAGCAAATTAATGGTTGACACTTAATCTATACAAACTGTTTCTCTATTTTTTTTTGTTTTTTGTTTCATTTAGTGAGTATATATTATAAACATACCCAGCACCCACAAACAAACACCTAAACACACACTCACATGTTGTTTAATTATGTCTCCTCCTCCAAAAAAAAAACAACAAAAATGAAATGAAAACCAAAAGAAAATCTTTGACAAGAAAAATCACATAAAAACCAAAAAAAAAAAAGAAATGCCAATACCAAAAACCTGAACAGCTCAAAGATCTGGGTATGTTGACAATCGCCATAAGCAGCATATTTGTAATGTTTTTGTGTTATTCGTGCGTAATTTATAGTTTTGATCCTTACTGTCCTTGCTGTCATATTGTTATCCGAAGCACACAAAAATCACAAATGTTGAGATCAGGCCCCACATGTTGCATAGACCTTTGCGAGTTCGATCAGTTCCGGCTGACCAAAAAGTAAGTTCTCTCTCTTTCTATGCATAGTATATTTTAAATGCAATATATATATATATTTATACATATATATTATCAATGCCAACAAATATTCACTATTCTTTTGTATCGTTTCTGTTCCTTTGGTCCATCCTTATATATATTTCGTGTACAATGTATATTCGGTGTTTGTGTATCAACGCGAGACTACAGATCAGAGCAGGTATCTACATTTAAATTCTTTTTCTTTTATATTTATTATTGTATGCCTATAAAATACTATCTATCCTAAGTCATTTGGTTATGGTATGGTTGGTACTAAACAGCAACAACATCAATATATATCCTCATCCCCTGACCCCGAATCGATCTATAGAATATAGAACACTACCCGTAGGAGACATCTAGTTAGAAAACACTTCACATGTTAGAAAGTAATGGGTTTTTTTTTGTTGTTAACGTAGAGTTCTTCCAATAATTCCCAGCAGTTTTTAGCTTAGTCATTAGTCGAATAGTTTTCTGAACTGATTCGCTTAACAAACCAATAGATAATACTCGTGTACTCCATCACCAATTCAAGAGGCGCCCTCAGGCTTTTGTTGAACCAATAGTTACGTTTTTAAATAGCTTATGTAAGTAGACGATTGGCAGTTGGAGAAAAGTCCTAGTCTTTCACCTTTTTTTGTTTATGGGAATCAGCATGATTGAAATGGTTTCCCCTGAACCCCAAGATCTTCGAATACTATTAGAACCTCTCAACATAGTCTAGGTTAGTTGATGACTTCTGCACCCAGTTTCCTGGAGAGCACCCACCTCCCCACCCACACTAACACACTCACCCTGTTTGAGTATACCTATTTGTAACCCAATCATTTTAATATCTACCCTTATATATAATAATAAACAATACATTTATTACTGTAACTATATCGTGTAACATAGACATAAGCAATGACAAGTGAAAAACTGCCCAAACGGATGGTGCAAAATCCTACAAGTTGGGCTAGTTTAGCGCAAAATTGATGTTGGACTTTTGGGTCTGGCAAATTCGCCGCACCGCCATCGGGATATCGCCGGCCATATCCGATTTCGTTTGGTCCTGGTTCGATAGTCCTGCGGTGTTAGAACGGCGTGCTTCAGACGAGAGTACCTCAATGCAAGACAGACAATCTCCGAGATACGGTGGCATAACTCGTTAAGATTCACACACTCCCTGACTAAAATCGCATCTGTACACACAGTCTTTTATAATCGTATCCGTAGATTATTAATAATACTCTCTATCTATCTCTCTGGTAATTGTATTGCGACGACTTTGTAAATATTTGATGGCCGCATTTCATTTTTGTAGAATTTGCTTTCACACATAAATGTCACATGTCTTTAATTTCCAAATGAAAAGATAATTAAGGGTGCCTGAAGAAATTATAATTTATTATTTAAATTTAATATATTTATGTATTCAGTTTTTAGATCAAATTATTGTTTTGTTTTCTTATTAAATTAAATATATTATATACCTTTTTGGGTTTGCATATCGCAAATGTAGTGCAATTTTAGTAAATTATTTTTTGGTGGTGGTTTTTTATTATTATTTTATAATTTTTTATCAATGGATCAATATCTTTTCATGCAATGCACGCGTTCGTTTGAAAAAGAGTACATCGAGATACAAGTTTGGTTAACAATTTTTGGGCCTTAGGTGTTTGAGAACAAAAAAGTAAGATTTTAAGATTTGAAGTCCACCCAATCTGTCTGTCTTTGCGCTGGGCGACACGCGAGTAGCTGGATATTTTGCAGACCTTATAAGACTAATACCCAAAACCCCACACACAATCGATTCTGCTGACTCCAGTCGAAAGCGTGTCACATTAATTTTGCTGAGCGAAGAGTCCCCTGCGTCCGACTTACATATATATCCCCCTTCTACAATATATCTATTTCTATATCTATAAGTGGTATATATGTCTATCTTTGCATTACGTTTTGCATGCCCTGGGTGAAGAGTATGCCTTTTCGATTTCCTGACCACCAGTAATATACATAAAAGTTTCAATCGGACGCAGGCGATGTACCGGAGTTAATTCAGGATATATACTGAGACTCCAGTATATTGTAACTCTGAGACGATGGTACATCACAGTTATTTAAGTAAACTGTTGGACTCTTCGGTCCTTGTCTTGCACAACCAAACACACCCACACACACACATGTTGTTATTTTCACAAGCATAACACCAACTACTCAAAAAAAATAAATAGCTAATTGATATCAGACCGAATTGCATAACATAAGAGCATTATTAAGCGACCTGTACAATCCACACAATCCGGAGGCAGAGGGCTTCACCACCAACCACATCGACCACGATCATCATTCTCAGAGCATCCGAAAAAAAAAAAATGATTAGAAACTTTGGATTCGAAAGAAAACACATTTTTGTTCAGTGTTGGTTTAATCATTTTTCAATATATACCCTTAATACTTTAATAATGCTTTCTTAGTTGCAACTATAATAGATTTGTTTGGGAAAGTATTTTGAAGATCAAACACTTTTTGAACGAAGAATGGATAAAAAGAAAAACCCATGAGAATTTACTTTGCCAAAGATCTTTAAAGCTTTCGACCAAAGTTAATTATATATTTTTTTTGATTAATTAATCTTTGAATAAATATAAATGTTAACCTTTTTATATTTTTCATAAGCTTTAAACAATTTTTGTTGCATTTACTTATTAACTAAAGCTTTCGGAATATAACAAATTGTTTTTTCCTAATTCTATTCTGTTCGTTCAACAAAAATAATCACACAAATACTTAGCTAATGCCTATTACTATATTTAGTGCAAAAGCATAAAATCAAAAAGAAAAACTACAAGAATTATTCCTATGTTAAACCATTTTTGAAGTTGTAATGTAAATGGAGCGCAAACCCCAGGAAGAAAAAAAATTACAAAAACATAAATATATTTAGTATTCTTGTACGTTAAATGTTTTTACCAAAACTCAAACAAAAAAGAAAGTATACAAACAACTTATATAAGCAATTGTTTAAATTCCTTTAAACTAAAACAAAGAAAAAACGAAAAATTACAATTACCAAAAACAACAATGCATAATGATAATATTTCTAGTTTAATGTTTTAATTGTTCTCTATTCATTTGAAATTAATTTATTGAAATTTTAATAAATCAAACCAAAAATATTGAAATGTGTTTCATTCAGAAGGATTATGATAAGGTGAGTTCAATATATGAGAATCCTAGGGGTATCATAAAACTTGTGTTCGAAAATTATGTTCTACTGTTTTAATGCAGATTAAAGGAGAATCGACCCACAAATCGTTTAAGATAGTCCTCTCAAGGATCGGATGGAAATTGGCAAAGATATAGCCATCCCAGTGGCTGATATTGGGCCTCTCATGAATTTGCAATATTTTGAAGGGGACCCCCTAGAAATTTTGACAAAAAATGTAAAAAATAATTTGTTCCCAGATTTTGATGCAGATTAAAAAAGAATTCATTCACAAATCGTTAAAGATACTCCTCTCAAGGATTGGATAGAAATTAGCAAAGATATAGCCTTCGCAGTGGCTGATATTGGGCCTCCCATGCATTTGCAATATTTTGAAGGGGACCCCCTGGAAATTTTGACAAAAAATCTAAAAAATAATTTGTTCCCAGATTTTGATGCTGATTAAAGGAGAATTCACCCACAAATCGTTTAAGATACTCCTTTCGGGGATCGGATAGAAATTGGCAAAGATATAGCTTTCGCAGTGGCTGATATTGGGCCTCCCATGCATTTTCAATATTTTGAAGGGGACCCCCTAGAAATTTTGACAAAAAATCTAAAAAATAATTTGTTCCCAGATTTTAATGCATATAAAAGGAGAATTCACCCACAAATCGTTTAAGATACTCCTCTCAAGGATCGGATGGAAATTGGCAAAGATATAGCCTTCGCAGTGGCTGATATTGGGCCTCCCATGCATTTGCAATATTTGGAAGGGGACCCCCTAGAAATTTTGACAAAAAACCTAAAAAATAATTTGTTCCCAGATTTTAATGCATATGAAAGGAGAATTCACCCACAAATCGTTTAAATAGTATTTTTTAACAACCCACAAATCGTTTAAGATAGTCCTCTCAAGGATCGGATGGAAATTGCCAAAGATATAGGCATCCCAGTGGCTGATATTGGGCCTCCCATGCATTTGCAATATTTTGAAGGGGACCCCCTAGAAATTTTGACAAAACATCTAAAAAATCATTTGTTCCCAGATTTTGATGTAGATTAAAGAAGGATTGGCCCACAAATCGTTTAAGATAGTCCTCTCAAGGATCGGGTGGAAATTGGCTAAGATATAGCCATCCCAGTGGCTGATATTGGGCCTCCCATGCATTTGCAATATTTTGAAGGGGATGCCCTATAGAAATCTGCTAGGGAAAGTCCCCTAGAAAATCAAAAATATTTTGAAGGGAACATTGATAAAAAAGTAAAAAAATAGATTCGGCTAAAGAACCAATTTTCAAAGTTGTGTATAATAATCTTCAGAAATGAATCTGCTCGGCTGCAAAAGGTTGGCGTTCAAAGATAGTCTCTTCATCTTGTTTTTATAATTAACACATTTTTTACTCACTCAGTTCTTTTCTCACCTCTGTTCTTACCAATATCTGTAAAAATCACGCAAAAGTCAGTGATGACTCAATGGGCTATCCCCATCCGACTCATGCTCTCGGATGACGATTCATTCATGATTTCAGCCAGAAACTTTCCAGAGGTGACCTCTTGTTTAAATTAGTATTAAATTATAATGAGTAGGTTAATAAACAAAATGTAATTCGAAATTACAAGCCACGTTCGGGGATGGTATGATATCTTTTAATATTTATGGGTCAGCCTGCTATTAAAGAGCCGCTGTAGGCCTCTTTTTTCCAATTGTGGGAGTTTTTTCAGGGGCTTGTCAATCGCAGGGCCACAGCTGGAGCATTATAATAGCTGGAATAATCCCCCCGACCAGCGTGGGAGCCTCTGCATATTTATTGTATTTGTGGGTTAGCCCAGGGAAGCGTGCCAAAAATTACTTTGCTTCGCTTTCAAAGTGCTAAACCGTCTTAACGGCCTGACTAACCCGACTAATTCAAGTTCAGTTCGAATTCCAAGAGAGCCGCCACGAGAGTGAGTGAAAACCACTCACGCAATCTGCCACGAAAAAGTTGACTTGACTGGGGGCTCAGATGACTTTTAGTTTCGTTTTGAGCTTCGGCGGCGGCGGTTGTCTTTGCGGTTGTTGATTTTTTGGAAACATTTTGAAAAGGTGTGTTAAGTATTCAAACGATTGACATTTTGTTGAAATTTGTCCGGCAAATTGAAAAGTCAGTGTGGTCATAAAACCGAAGTCAGGGTCAAACAAAAGATTTAAGGCACAAACTTTGATCAAATGAACCTTAGGCGAGTCAGCCAAGTGACAAGGTTTGCATAACTGGTGAACAAAAGCCATTCGCAATTGTCGCCCACCTGGCCTAAAAAAGTGTAACATAAATAAAACCAAATAAAAATAAAGTGTTAAGTAACCAACAGTTTTAAAAGTCATAAACTAAAACGGTTGCAGTTTAAGGAAAACTTTTAACGTAGACACGCCCAAATTTTTTAAATCTTTACTGGAGTATATACCATAGTTTACTTTTTCGATATCTTTTAAATTAAATAAGTAATGTATACGTGTTGTATGTATGTTGTAAAAATGTATTAAATGAAATATTGAAAGAGAATGTTGGCCAGGCAGAGTAGCCATTGAAATGCTAATGGCCAAATGGCGAGACTCAACTTGAATTCAGATGATGAGGTCGAGTGTTTGAGCCACGAAGATACAATGAGGTTCAAAACACTCTATAAATAAACTAACAAAAACTGAAAAGATACCAGACAACATTTTTTACGAGTCACTGAAGAAGGAGAAAGGTTTTTGATGGGCTATTTGTTTTATGGTGTTGTTCAAATATTTAAAAAAGTGAATATAATTCTTGGAAATATTTATTTTTCCATTATTTTCAAACCCTACTCAAATTCTAAAGAGCTTTCTTGATGCCGCAAAAAATGTGTATGATCTTTTTGGTTATATAATATACCTCAAGACTTGCTTTTAGCCAGAAAAAAATATCTTTGTGGTTTGGCAGCTTTGTCAGAACAAACCCAAAGACAACTTTCAAATAAGCCGGAGAGACCAAAACACTAAAGTGTGACTCATGCCAAGAGCAAGAAGGCCATGGGGGCTGGACCATGTGACAAGACTGAGATTTAGACACTTGAAAAAATTATTAAAAAATATTTGATGATCTTAAGGAAATAAGCTGTTAAACTTTATTTCAAAAGTAGTTAAGGATCTCATTTTTCAACTCAACTATTTGTTTAAAAACACCACAACTTTGCAGTTTTTTTCCAGTGCCTCATCTCGTTATAATTATGGCTTTGACAAGGCCATTTCGGCTTAACGGAAGCTTAAACAAGTATACCAGCTAATATTAATTGATTTTTGTGCTTTGCAGCTAATCGATTGAAGCCATGTTGAGCGTCAATCTGGGACTGCTCCTGCTGTGGGCGATTTCTGCCCTGGGAAATGATAATCTCCGTGTGGCCTACGAGTGGCGGGAAATGGACTTCAAGTACGACACCGAGGATCTGCGATGGTCGGCCATCGAAAGGGGAGACTTCAAGCCCGCCAATGTGATACCTTTTGGCATCGAAGTTACTGGACACCGACTCTTTATTACCACGCCTAGATGGCGCACCGGAGTGCCGGCCACGCTGTCCTACCTTGATCTTAATGGTAAGTTGCAACTCATTGTTGCAGCTGTGGCATGTACTATGTAGACGCTTAATTGCAGTATGCCATTGCACAAAGTGTGCCAAGAACTAAACCGAGATCTCGAATCTCACATAAAAATTCTCAGCAATTGTTTCGGTTGCCTCGCAAATGTCGGAACTGTCTGATTAACTTGACCATCCAAACAATTGGGTTTCCTTTCGCACTAGAAGCAATTAGCATATTGTTCTGGCTGCCGGAGAACACAGATTGGTAGTGTATACTGGATATATATTCCAAGCTTTATTAAGGTCTGCAGATGTGAAGTGAGAAAATAAATATTTAACATGAGAAAATAGTGTAAATTGGCTTTAACAAAGTGCTAAATACCTTTTGAAAAAAGACTGATTTGTTTGCTTTATTTATTTCTAAATAAAATACTGGCTCTTATTCATTAAAACATAGTTATTCACTTGATAAGTTAAAGCAAAGTTAAGATACAAATCAATGTTTCACTACTTCACTATGTTTCCCATTTAAAACGCTTTAAAAGTTCTTAATATAGATTCTGTCTCAGTAAAAAAATAAAACATTAATTTGTGTTTTTTCCGTACAGTAATACTGTCATAGTACTTTAATGAAGTTGTTTTACCTTTTTAACGTCGTCTTACAAGGCGAGTGGGCATTCGTCATAACCACAACTCAATCAAAGCTAATTAGCAAGCCGATCAGCTTTAAGCCAAGTGAACAGAGTGTTGTTATTATTCATCAGCAGTCACCCAGTTTGCACCCAAACATTGTCAAGATCCCAATTAACGTCATCCGAAACAAAAACCCAATGCAAATGACCGTAAAAAGTAAAGTAAAATAAAAACAAATGAACATGATTGTTCTAAAGATCCAGCTACAGACAGATACATTTGTGTATATACATATATAAATTTAGTTATTCTACCAAAATGATTTTTATCTTATAGATACCACCACCGACAAGCCCGCTTTGAAGCCCTTCCCCAGCTGGCAGGCTCATAGTTTGCAGGAAACGGAACCTGAACTGGTTTCCCCTTTTCGGGTGCGTGCAGATCGTTGTGGACGTCTCTGGGTTCTGGACTCTAGGATCTCGGGAGTACTAGAGCAGACCAAGGTCTATGGAGCACCGCAATTGCTGGTCTACGACCTCCACAACGATGATCTGCTGAGGCGACACATCTTGCCAGTTGGCCAGTACAAGATGGGATCGCTTTTTGCCAACTTGGCGGTGGAGGATGCGGACTGTGAGAATACCTATGCCTATGCAGCGGATCTGGGAACCCCTGGCCTGGTGGTCTACTCGTGGAAGGATCAGGAGTCGTGGCGCGTACAGCATCACTTTTTCCATCCCGATCCTATGGCTGGAAACTTCAGCATCAATGACATTGAGTTCCAGTGGGATGACGGTCTTTATGGACTGGCCTTGTCTAAGCCCCTCGAAACTGGCTACTCCACTCTGTTCTTCCATCCTCTGTGCTCCACCATGGAGTTCTCTGTGGATACGGGAATCCTGCGCAACAAGACCTTAGCCACCTCTGCGGATATCTATCGGGAATTCAAAGTATTGGGCTCAAGAGGCACCAATACCCAAGCCGGAGCCGAGTTCTTGGACCAGGAGACGGGTGTTCTTTTCTACGCCCTGCCGAATCTCAACGAGGTGGCCTGCTGGCGTACTGCCACAGATTTCAGCCACAACTCCCAGAGTCGCATCTACATGAGCAATGATAAGATGATATTCCCCAGTGACATCAAGGTGGACGACCAGAAACGTCTCTGGGTCCTCTCCAACAAGCTGCCAGTATTTATCTACGATGAATTGTTTTACGGATCAATTAATTTCCGTATTTTTATGGCTAATGTTAGCGAGGCTGTCAAAAACACAGCCTGTGAAATCCGCACTTCTCCACTACCAGATGTGATTAACAAATTCGCGGATATTCTCAACACCAATATCAATTCAAAGACACATTCCGGAGCATCTTTGATGTTTGCGAGCTCCCTGATCACTATTTTAGGTGTTCTGATGAGCATTAGGCTTTAAAATCTTACATCTAAACACACTTGAAATAAATATATTCGTTGCTTGAGGACTTAAAAATCAATCCCATGAATACTTTGCCAGATAAAATGATTTTTGAAAACATACGAAATATTTATTTGAGTGCATCTTGTGTATTATAATTAATTTTTTTAGATCTAAGCAAAAAACTGTAACTTTGTAATGTTGATTAAATGTAAGAAGTGTATGTGAATAGTGGTTTTTAATAAGATATTTAAATTTTACCAAGCCAGCTTGGTTCTTCAGTTCAATATCTAGTTTTTTTCTTCTCCTTATAGACAATGGCTATATCTACTGTCTCATCACTGGTCTGGGAATGACCATCCTCGGAATTTGCAGTTTTTCGCTTTTCTTTCTGTTGCATTTTTTTGATAAAGCCTCCGCAGAAAAATAGAGTTAGCTGGTATGGGGGAATGAAAAAAATTATTAAAAAAGTTGTAAAATATTTTTATAGAAATCCTTACGTGTTCGAGGATTCCGATCAACCCTAAAACTGAAAGCCCTAAAAGAAAACCCAGGGAACCTCCAACATCTGCTATGAATTGTGTGGTGTCGTAACTGGGACGCTCTTCAATCATCTGTGAACAAATAAAATGTTTAATCAATCTTGGTTGATTTATATCGAATTCCCACCGATATCAGTTTAGTTGTATAATATATATAGATTAGACTTCTGGGCTCCGGTTGGTTCCAAGTTTTGCGACTTTGTATGAATGTGGTATAGATCCTCGACTGGCAGGGTTGAATGCAATTGCAATCATAGTCATCTTCGCTTTCATAGACTCTAAAATGAATAAATTATTTAGTATAAAGTATTTTAATTATTATAATAATTTAAATACAATTTATAATCCGATATAAGTCTTCTCATAGAAACAGAATCATTGCAAGGTTCATTGGCAATATCATGCATCCAAGGACCTGAACAGTGCATATTATCTGATAAATCCTGCCAAATGCAATGTTCACCACACTGAAAAAAAGGGTTCAAATAAGTATAAAAAATCGCAATATATTATAGTAGTAGTTACTTTTAGATCACTATAACTCTCTTCACTCGAGCAGGCCTCGTCCCTAGTCTGAACATTCGAAAAAAATTGACTTTGCAGTTTGATTTCAATTTCCTCATTGACATTCACGAAAACATATTCCACTCTCCCGGAACCCCTCATATTTATTTCTGAAAAATCATAAAATTTAGTATACTATCTATAGCTATTGAATCATAATTAATTTACCTGTAAAATTCTCCTTTTTTTCGTGGATAAACACATGCCAACCAACAGAACCTGTATCGATATCACTGGTGGATGTGACAGATGTTGTGTGTTCCAGAAGTATGGAATAACCCACTGACTTGGATACCCTTTTGGAGGGCTCCTTCGGTCGCAAAGTGGTGCAGCGTCCCATATAGAAGTGCATACTGCTACTCGATTCCAAATCTTGAAAAATAAATATTAAAAACTGGCAAGAGTAATTTACAAAATTAACTTACTATTTACATGACCATTTAGTCCATAATATATGAAGGTGTCTGCCATGTCATAGGTGCTATTTTCAAAGAACTCTTCTAATGGAATTTCACCAAAAGGATAATCTATCCAACAGGTGGCATATTTTGGATGAGAACACATGCCACCCGAAAGGTTCTAAAAAACAAAATTATATTTAATTACCAAAAAATATAATTATATTTGTGCCAATTTCCATCCGATTCATAAGAAAAAATATCTTATTCCTTTGTATTTTTGTTGCCAATCGAGCTCAATACTTTTCCAAGAACATTTAAGGTAATCCAGCTGCCACCAACTCACCGTAAGGACATCCTCCCTGTAGGCTGGCTCCCGGCATATGGTAACCGCTGGCATCTCAATTGTGTCGTTCAGGTTGTAGTAGGAGTGGGTGGAGATGGGTGGATTGTAGAGCTTGGCAAAGCACTCGTACAGCTGGACAATGACCACGATACAGCAGGCGAAGAGGACACCGTAGCGAATGAGCTTGGCTGGATCACGGAAGATCCAGGCCCGCGTCTCCGACCAGTAACCCATGGCGAGCAGAAAGTGAAACTCGAGTGAACTGGAGGTCCGATTCAGTTTCAACCAAGGCCCAATATCTTTTTCAATGCCAGCCTGCGAAAATTCTCACAGTTGGTCAAGATAAGCCTAATATTGATTTATGCCCCATGGTGAAGCGTAGTGGCCCGATAAAGCCCCATAGTCGACTCATCGATGGGTAGTACGAGATTCGACTGCGAGTTCGAGTATCTATAAAATACTAGAACATGTTGAACCCGGTGTTTACAAAAGGCTGGCGAATCTAAGCGTAACATTACCAAAACATTTTGTTTATAATTGTCTATGCCTTGTGCAGATAGATACGGTATCTGGCGCATTTATAGTATCTGTATATCTGTATCTGCAGCTGAAATCAGCGCCATGGTTACCAATTTCTGGTTTTATGTCGATTTTATTCATTCCCCCCTTTGGCTGCATAGGCGCAGGAAATCTGTGGACATTTTTATTACGGATGTGGATTTGGATAAGTGGTTTATTTGATTCTTTTTGGTCTGAATACCAACGATATTATATTTAATCATTTAAGTAAAAAAACAAAAGAACCTTATTTAAAAATAAAATCCTTATATAAAGACCCATTTGGCGATACCTTAGCTATCACCTAGGCACCTCGCACGGGCCAGATTTGACCTTAGAGGCTGGCAAAGCTAAATCTATGCAAAACACCTAGAAAATACGCAGGCCATTAGCGACGTATGTACATATGTACCTAACCCAAGGAACAGAATATATATCAGAAACTATATAAACAGATCGAGATATATGGTTGAAGCTTTTCGGGCAGAAAAACAAATGAAAGGCAGGCCAAACAATGCGTGGTGGTGGATCGATCCAGTGAGATCGAGGAGACGAGGCCGAAAAAGCCCGAGACATTCCTCAGTTGTGACGTTAAATCAGAACAAAACCGACCCACTGCTACTTATATATCCACTATATACTTCTCGTTATATATAGTACATACTGGGAAAGTCAAAAAGGCAAAAACAGTAAAAACAAAATATACATACAAAAACAAAAAAAAGGAGAACTAATAAACAAAAAGAAACTTGCAACTAAAAATAGACAAATTGAAACATTTCATGAGTTGAAAACACCAACACAACTTGGACATGGACGTGCTGACGAGCACGGGCAAAAAAAAAAAACAAAACCTCAGCAGTTTCTTTACTGCTGAGATGAGATACAGATACACAGGCAGAAGATGCTGTTATGTATCTGTATCTGTATCTGTGAGATATGTTGACGGACTGACTGTTTGTACCACACGGCGTATGCGTTCTGCGCCCGTTCGTTCATTTCAATTCGTATAGTTAGTGCCCAGGACGCAGTCACACATTGCTGTGTGCTTTTCTGATTTTTCAGATTTTTAGATTTTCAAATATTTTAGATTTGTGTGTGTATCTAGTAAATCTCAGATACACACCCATACCATTTTAAATAAAAACTGCAGAGTAGAGCTAGTCGAATGTTCGCTTGTGTTGAACTTCTTCGCAACTAAATAGCTTTCGTTTTAAATTTAGACCACAGCGGCGGCTATATTAAACGCATATGAAATGTTTTTTAGAATCACTAGGTATGCCAGCCAGCATCTACATATGTATGTTAGTCTAAGTATATAGAAAATATATGTAAGGAATATTCATTCTATAACTCAAGAACTTTACCTGAACTATCCCTACAAACATTATAGTTTCATGCCTATGGAAAATGGGTATATATGCCAAAAATACATAGATGGTTCTCTGTGGAGTAAGAAATATGTTTTAAAAATACATTTTTCCTGTCGCTCATAAATTTCTAAAAACAAAATTGAAAAATTCACGGCAGGTACTGAGTCATTTCCATGCTGTACATGATTAATCAGACTATATAGAAAATGTTACACACAGTGGCTTAGGCAGAAGGGGGAACTGGCTGGCATGTTGCTCCTCCTTCTACTTTTATAATGGTAATTATTTTCATTTCCCCATTTTCACTCATCATTAATAAAAGTCTCGACGCTATATAGACTTCGATTATGGCCATCCGCCGCACTTGAGTAATACTACGGCTGGGCCATATAGTCGAGGGGGGCACTGCAGGCGGTTTAATTGGGTGACAAATGCTTACAGAAATAATTTTAAATGCTCCACACATCAGTGACTAATACTAAATGATTCGGTTTGATTGCCTAATTAATAAACGATAGATGGCACTGGCTGTACATTGCATTCGGGGTTTATGCAAATGTCTAAATATCCACCATAGATTGGATTTGCATTATGCGCGTGTGGTTTTTAATTGAGCCGAAGCCATTAATCATTTTTGACCACACGGGTACCCATCAACACCCCTCTCAGGGCTGGAAAATGTTTCCCGTTTCTAACATTGCAAAAATATCTAAACAACAATATTGTATGGAATAAATAAACATTTTAGTGTTGGGCTTTAATGTAGGAAACTATTTTCGGTTTACTATAATATTTTTGTTTGGAATCTAAGCTTTCGATGAAAATATCTTTTTAAAAATGATATCATAATGTTATTATGAAAAGTCGTTATAAATGTATGGATTTATGATCCAATATGTGATAAAATTTCAGGCTTATTGGTAATGTGTCTATAAATGAACTTTGTGTGTATTGTGTGTTTTACTTTTTTCCAAAATTATTCAAATATTGTAGAAATACACTAAAAAAAATTTTCTTGAAGTGAGAAACAGCCCAGAAAAAGGGAATTTATAAAATAATTTTTGATATTTTCTAATATCCAAATATCTTCAGACATTAGAAGGTTTGTCTTATAAGAACTTTATTATCATTTGATTATAAGGACAAACTATTGTTTCTAACATTTTTAGGAAAAACCAAAATGACTTTACTTTTGGATTATATTTTATGCCCAAATTCCTTTTTATCATTTTTTTTTAATCTTTTGTAAACTTTCTAAGCTCTTAAATTCCTTAAAAACTAGTACTGCGCAACAATTGTAGGTAATTTTCTTATTTTGTGGATTTTTGCAGATTTTAGGCCTTTGTTCTGTCAAATACTAATCCATCAACTAAGTAGTCTATACAAAAGCCCCAGAACAAAGAATCACAATGTAGATTTATGGCCATATTCAGTATATCTATTATATGTAAATTAACTCTGAGATTGACAGCTGCAAGTGCAAATGTCAAGTATCCTTTTCGTTTATTTCAATTTGGAAAGAATTTTTGAAATGTGTTTTGTTATTTTTTGGTTACATAACCGGCACGTAATGCAGGAAGTATTCATTCATTTGTCATGCCAGGCATTACCCAAAAGCGCATGGGCACATGGGGCTACCTGGCAACCTGGCCTGGTCTGGCACTGGCGTCAGTCCACCACCGCCTCCTCAGCCGATTTCATCCACTCGTCTTGGGGGTAAATCTTTTGCGAAATTAAGAGAGATCTCTTGGTTATATTGGGTGTGGGCATGGGAAGACTCATACGCTACGGTTTGGTGCACCCGATGTATAGATGTAGAGTGCACGACGATCGACGATCAGCGATCGAGGATTGCGATTTAAGATTCCGCGGGGATCTGAGGGATTGGGAATCGGTGGGGAAGCGACAGGCTGGCGATGGATATTTTTATATCGACAATTTGGATGGTTTCCAATGCATTTAGACGAGAGTTATCTATAGAATATGTATGTATTTTGGTCACGGTTGCCGTTTTTAAAATATTTTCATTCTATGTGTACCAATTGCTTTAGGTCTAGAATTTTTCGGGAATACTATTTGAGAAAAATTTCGGGCAGGGTTACTGATATCTTTCAAAACGAAACTGAAGGGGTGGTTTGCATAGCACCTTTATTTTAAAATGTAGTTTTTTGTTAAATAGCAACTTTTAAGCTAGTTTGTCACTATACAGTGGCTAACAAAATTTTAGGTCTTGAGGGAATATCTTTTAAATATATTCAGTTTTTTAAATTTTTAAGAAGGTATACTTTTGAAGGGTTTTTTATGTTTTATGAATTTTTATTCATTATTTCACTAATTTATTTGAAAGTTATAAAAGGTTCTAGGAGATATTCTATAAAATTATTTATAAGTTTTGAAAAAACACCAAACTACTAAGCATTTTTTTTTAGGACTTTTCCCATCTTTCAAATATGGGTCAACGTCTGAGCTTATTTGTTTAATAAATAATTTTTTTTATTAGAAATAGGATGATTTATGATGTGTCTTGGACGTGAGTAGGACTCGCATAGGAAAGCCATTTGCTGATGATCCACTAACCGACTTGGGGGTTCGACACGCATGCAGATGGGGATTTTTACGCCTTCCCTGTGATCTGAGTTTTGTGTCATGTCCGCCCCACATCCCCGTCCCCGAACGTGCCATTCAATGTGTCTTCCATTTGGCAGCGACTATGGGTTCAGTTCATTTTAGTGATGGCGGTGGTGGTGCTGGCGATGTCGCCGTTCGGCGGTGCCGGTGGTGCAGGTGTTGGGGCGCAGTTCGCACATTGCAATGTGGCGGCAGCTTTGAAATAGCCCATTGCAAGCAATAATTGTTGCTGCCTCGTGTAGACAACTGCCCACTGCCATCCCTTCCCCCAACAATCCCCAAAAAATTTTCGAGGGAGGCCGCCAGTGCCAAAATAAACAAGAAGAAGCATTTCAGCATCTCAGCATCTTGACACTAAAATGCAAAAATTGCTTTGCGTCAATGACTCAAAACCAAAAATTGTGTGTTTTTTGTCTTTAATAAATTTGAGAGCCGTTGAATTTTTGCATTAGGGAACAATCTAGAAGAGCTTCGAGTCACCACCATAATTTATGGCTACTAAATGTTTATTCTTTAAAAATACTAAACTCGTGTATATTAGATTTTAGCCAAAAGCTAACTTATTGCCTAGCCTAACGTTAAGATTTTTGGTACATCTCTGGGTTGGCGCTGGGCTTTCTCCTATTTTCTCACAATTCCTATCGCCAATGTCACAGATTTTGTTTCAGCGTCAAAACATCTGCCAGAGGCCCAACCAAGAATTATGATAATTTTATATGCGCGAAAAGAATTGGGAGCAGATACAGCTCTCAAAGCACCCCACGACAAAAAATAAAGATTTTGTTCAAGAGGACGCAGAACTGAAACTTTTTCAAACTATAAATATTCATAAAAATGTTTGAATGTTGTTTTTGTTTGTAGATTTTCTTTTTGTTTTTCAGAATTGATGCGTGTTGGTTTTTTTTGGCAATTTTTTTTTTTTTTATTTTGTTGTTTGTTAATGTTCAAATATTTTGAGCGTTTCAAGTCATTATGAAAAGTATT